TTTATCGTATCCGTATCGTATCGTATCGTATCGACATCCACAATAACTCATAGAGTGTCTATCCGTATCTCTCCATCATAGATGTTAACTGCCTCTGTAGCAAAGACAAGGCAACTTCTGATTGGATCAAAAACTCCCTATACAATATTAGCATACATCCTGGATACAAGTTCCGTGACAGTCCTGAGAAGAGATATACGGACATGAGACATGGCAGTGGATGAAGATCGGGACACTCGACACTCAATCAGCCGTTTGTCTACACAGGGGAAAGACCACACTGTCATCCCAGGCAGATAACTCTCGACACAAGGAGAAAGAGGATATATGGATGTGTTTAGGATGCAATGTTCGCAGTTACATATGATGGTCAATGTCAGGCAACATTAGCTACAGGAAGTTTCTTGCATGCTGCAACACTAGACAAGCCAGCTGATGTGTTGTATAACAACAGTGAGAAGAAACTGATGAAGATGACCGTGTCCAATAATGTAAGCACAGAGGTGACCACACTGGACGCATGGCTATACTGAATAAAGGCACCATTTACTACGATGGCTTTGATCAAACTATTCTAGGTGCAGTTAATTTGACCTATAACAATGCAAAAACTTTCCATTCAATAATCCTGACGTGGGTTGATCAGTTACATCTGTGTTTTATTCCCTGATTTCCACAATGGTTTTTCTGCAATGAAGTTGAAAAATACTCGATTCTGATTGGTCAAATGACAATTACCACCTCTAATTGAAACAGGTGATTTGACGACCGCATGACCGCGGAAGCTAAAATTTATAGAAAGAACTTCTTTCTCAATCATAGTTGGTGGGCAGATTGAAATTACATGAACAATTATAGGTTACAAAATGAAAAGGTTCGGTTATTCACAGTGTCAAAGCTATTTTTATGATATCAACTTTCTATTAGGAAATGTATTTTATTCAAATTATATCTGTGAGATTTATCCGCATACCAGTGATTCATATTTCGCACATGCGGCAAGCCACAATGTCACTCACTGTGAGCTAGAGACCGCTGATGTGAGTCTACCAAGCCGGACTGACACAGAGGAGCCCTCCCTCAGACAACCAGTGATTGGTGTGTTAACTTCACGTCACATGGTCGGCGTACATGGTCTGTTCGACTGTGAGAAAAGGGTCAGTGAGACAATTTGAGAACCTACCGGAATTTAATTATTTAAAAAAAAGGCGCAATCATCCATGGTTACAGCCGATACACCGCTGAGACCTGTGTTGTTGTAAAAGATATAAGAATTGGTCATCTTCAGTGTGTGATTGAATGAAGGCCTGAGTTGTATGTTCACGGATGTCAGAGGCAGCTACGTAGACTTCACTCTGCCTCCACCGACTAAAACCTTCAACCCAGAAGCTTTCTCTGTTTTTCAAGTTAGGAAACTATTTGACTTTGTATGTTAAGTTTTTCTGTTAACAATGACATAAAGAAGTTATATTCATTTTAGTGAGTGAGTGAGTGAGTTGGGTTTAACGCCGCTTTTAACAGTATTCCAGTCATATCACGGCGTGTCAGCTTAATGTGGGAGGAAAGCCCGAAGTGATGCAGGTCTTAGACGTTTACCACTTCGGTGAAACCCACGAGCACGGGTATGGTGCTGACAAACCTAGAAACATAATCGGGGCGAACCGGGATTCGAACCCACAATCATAGGTTTCTGGCGTGCCCAAGGGACGCAACTCTGCACAGCGAATCGCGGCGCCTTAGACGACTGGGCCACCCGTGCCCCCTATTCATTTTAGATATGTTGATGATATCGTAGATTTGTGAAATGTATCATTTGGTAAATAGCCAGTAGACAATACTCCCTCTCGGAGCATCATATTTACTGTATATATGTTATTGAACTACTTGCACGGCAATATCTCGAATATGAGCATATGCACCATACTTATAACAACGGTTTGCCTGCAATGTAGAATTCTTGTCAGAAGATAGTATAAATGGGAAGCGAGTGTGCTATATCTTAAGTGATTCTATTCCAAAAGATGTTTGTCATTTCCAGTTTTTATGTCAACTGTCCGTGCATGGCAGCGTGAAACGTTTGTACTATTTTATATCGATGTCCTACGTTGACATTGCTGCCCTAATGATGGTCACGTGTTGATATTTCAGGGTCTTGGTGGTGGTCAAGTGTTAACACTGTGGTGTCTTGATGGTCAAGTGTTAACATTGTGGTGTCTTGATAGTCAAGTGTTAACATTGTGGTGTCTTGATGGTCAAGTGTTAACATTGTCGTGTCTTGATGGTCAAGTGTTAACATTGTCGTGTCTTGATGGTCAAGTGTTAACATTGTGGTGTCTTGATGGTCAAGTGTTAACATTGTGGTGTCTTGATGGTCAAGTGTTAACACTGTGGTGTCTTGATGGTCAAGTGTTAATATTGTGGTGTCTTGATGGTCAAGTGTTAACATTGCGGTGTCTTGATGGTCAAGTGTTGATATTGTGGTGTCTTGATGGTCAAGTGTTAACATTGTGGTGTCTTGATGGTCAAGTGTTGATATTGTGGTGTCTTGATGGTCAAGTGTTAACATTGTCGTGTCTTGATGGTCAAGTGTTAACATTGTGGTTTCTTGATGGTCAAGTGTTGATATTGTGGTGTCTTGATGGTCAAGTGTTAACATTGTGGTGTCTTGATGGTCAAGTGTTAACATTGTGGTGTCTTGATTGTCAAGTGTTAACATTGCGGTGTCTTGATGGTCAAGTGTTGATATTGTGGTGTCTTGATGGTCAAGTGTTAACATTGTCGTGTCTTGATGGTCAAGTGTTAACATTGTGGTTTCTTGATGGTCAAGTGTTGATATTGTGGTGTCTTGATGGTCAAGTGTTAACATTGTGGTGTCTTGATGGTCAAGTGTTAACATTGTGGTGTCTTGATGGTCAAGTGTTAACATTGTGGTGTCTTGATGGTCAAGTGTTAATATTGTGGTGTCTTGATGGTCAAGTGTTAACATTGTGGTGTCTTGATGGTCAAGTGTTAACATTGTCGTGTCTTGGTGGTCAAGTGTTAACATTGTGGTGTCTTGATGGTCAAGTGTTATCATTGTGGTGTCTTGATGATCAAGTGTTAACATTGTGGTGTCTTGATGGTCAAGTGTTATCATTGTGGTGTCTTGATGGTCAAGTGTTAACATTGTGGTGTCTTGATGGTCGAGTGTTAACATTGTGGTGTCTTGATGGTCAAGTGTTAACATTGTGGTGTCTTGATGGTCAGTTGTTAACATTGTGGTGTCTTGATGGTCAAGTGTTAACATTGTGGTGTCTTGATGATGGTTAAGTGTTAACATTGTGGTGTCTTGATGGTCAAGTGTTAACATTGTGGTGTCTTGATGGTCAAGTGTTTACATTGTGGTGTCTTGATGGTCAAGTGTTAACATTGTGGTGTCTTGATGGTCAAGTGTTAACATTGTGGTGTCTTGATGGTCAAGTGTTAACATTGTTGTGTCTTGATGGTCAAGTGTTAACATTGTGGTGTCTTGATGGTCAAGTGTTAACATTGTCGTGTCTTGATGGTCAAGTGTTAATATTGTGGTGTCATGGTGGTCAAATGTTAACACTGTGTTGTCTTGATGGTCAAGTGTTAACATTGCGGTGTCTTGATTGTCAAGTGTTAACATTGTGGTGTCCTAATGGTGGTCAAGTGTTAACATTGCTGTGTCCTAATGGTGGTCAAGTCTGGTATTGTGGTGTCCTAAGGATGGTAAGTTGTTAACATTGTGGTGTCTTGATGGTCAAGTGTTGATATTGTGGTATCTTGAGGATGGTCAATTGTGAACATTGTGGTGTACTGATGGTCAATTGTTAACATTGTGGTGTCTTGATGGTCAAGTGTTAAGAGTGTGGTGTCTTAATGGTCAAGTGTTAACATTGTGGTGTCTTGAGGATGGTCAGTTGTTAACATTGTGGTGTCTTGAGGATGGTCAGTTGTTAACATTGTGGTGTCTTGAGGATGGTCAGTTGTTAACATTGTGGTGTCTTGAGGATGGTCAGTTGTTAACATTGTGGTGTCTTGATGGTCAAGTTTTAACATTGTGGTGTCTTAATGGTCAAGTTTTAACATTTCTGTGTCCTAGTGGTGGTCAAGTGTTAACATTGTGGTGTCTTGATGGTCAAGTGTTAACATTGTGGTGTCTTGATGGTCAAGTGTTAACATTGTGGTGTCTTGATGGTCAAGTGTTAACATTGTGGTGTCTTGATAGTCAAGTGTTAACATTGTGGTGTCTTGATGGTCAAGTGTTAACATTGTGGTGTCTTGATGGTCAAGTGTTAACATTGTGGTGTCTTGATGGTCAAGTGTTAACATTGTGGTGTCTTGATGGTTAACATTGCTGTGTCCTAGTTGTGGTCAAGTGTTTATATTGTGGTGTCTTAATGATGTAGCTATTGCGATTGTGTTTATAGTGGGGCGTCCAAATGATGTAGTCATTGTGTTCGTGGTCACGTCTTTCTTGTGAATCTAGTTTTGTTCTGTTCTGGTGATGTCCAGATTGGGATTTCACCCTATCATGTTCCCAACGAGATACAACTCTCCTTAATCTATATGTCGTCTCCTGCATTGATTCCTAACGGCTTCAGAAGCCTAATGATACTGACATTGTAACATTATTTTGCAGTCATTTTTCAAATGCGTTAAGTCAACCATTTTTGTCTTCTACACAATGTTCTGCTACTGCAGGTGTAATTAGGGTGTGATAAGACCGCTGTGTCAAGAGGGACTTGTGTTTTACTTCCAACAGGTGAGCTCCGCCTACTGCTACACCTGCAGAGTCGTGAAGATCAAAGGTCGGCCCTAGTGCATACCTGATTATACCTAAAATGGATAGCATATTATAGAACGGCCTTCTGGCATCTATGTGTAAAGTTTAGATACTCCTTTGCTTGGAGCAATGCAAAGATTCCTCTGGTTCTGTATAGGCTCTGTATTATAAAAGAAGATTCAAACCTGTAAACGTTTACAACAGACAAACATAGAGGAACGACAGCTTTTTAATTATAACAGTTCCGTGAACAGAAACGATTTAATCAATTAATTACTACAACAATCATCTCAGTTATGTAGTCCAGCAGGAATATCAGTTAAGTTACATGTGTTGCCTACACTTAATCGTGGTTACTCGTGGACAAAGGAAAATGGAAAATGATCAAGACCTTTTCTTGTTATGAATGACTTACTTTGTATACTTCAGTTTATATCTTTGTCTATCAGTCCAGGTTTAGCTATAACAGATCCATGGTAACCATAAATATCTTCTGATGTCACAGCCGTGAAACAATCTACAACTTTATCAGTTCTTCACAATTTGTTCGTCAACTTCATCTTTCCTGTTGTTAAATGAGCCCGAGCTGCTTGACACGAGGGGCGTCCCCTGGTCGCCCGATGTGTGTACACATCCATTTCGAGCAGATTTGGAAGTGGAGATCATCGTGTCTTCCAGTGCTTTCCCCCTGGTCTCTTCGAGTCCAATGGTAGCAAGCACAGTGAGAACCGCCAGAATTCCCAGAGCAACGAATGGCACCATAAGGTCCTTAGTTCCACCCTGAAACGTTTATTATTCTTTAAACAAATGTGGATTTCACTGAATCATAAAACAAGACATAATCTTTCGGCGAAGATTTCGAAGAGCACCACGCGAACGTTGCTCAAACGTTGTTTGATCAGGGTTACAATATTCAGGGCCTCAGCCAAGCCTCCAAAGTGTTTTGTGATAGACGCGTGGAGGACATTTCCAAATTCGACGCATCAGTGACAAAAATCATTATTTTAGTTCATAATTCGGCCAGAAAACAATCAGTATATTTTGTTCATTATTGACCCTAAAACGAATATTGCTTGTCATTTTAATATAGTGATGTGATATGAAATAGAAAAAATATGCACTTGCAACCTTTAAGAAAATCAGGGGACCCCATTGAGTGAAAGCAAATCATCTCACGGGCACCCTGATTATAATTATACAGCTGTGATAGAAATTTGAGTGAGTGAATGAGGATCGAACCCAGTCCTTCGGCATGACGCGCGAACGCTCTTAACCACTAGGCTACACCACCGCCCAATAAGGAAAGAGCCAGATGGAAAGAGAGAGACAGATGGAATACTGCACACACACGTACACACACACACACACTTTACTTTAAATGATTTGTTACCAGACACTGACCAGAGACAGAACCTGACCTGCGAATATACCACCGATTCTTGCAGCGGCACTCTGAGCAGCAGACGACAGGTTTCTGGAAGAACAAATGTATTATTTTATAACAAGCTGATACAACAATGTCAGCTAACATAACTTTTCGTAAAATAATAATAATGTCCTTTTTGACACTAATGTGATTGACAAGATTCGGGAAAAAAATGGCAAATATGCGGACCAGTGGATGCCCAGCTTCGGCACAAACACAGTATCTTAAGCGACATGATGGAGTGGCTCCATTAGTGTGTTACCGTCTTCGCCATGCTTGTGGTTTTGACACAGAGGTCCATCCGTGGTACGACCCAGAATATGTAGAGGGCGTCATGGAACATGATAAATAGAAAATTCTTTGGAATAGGCCCAGATACAGCCTCAGACCTAACCGGGCCAACAAACCTGATAGTGACCTTTTTGATGAATACAATGAAATCATTTATATCGTTGAATTTACTGTCCCCTTTGACACCAATGTGATTGATAATATACAGGAAAAACATGGCAAATATCCGGACCTCGCTTTCGAAATATCACGTTTGAATACCAAGTACCAAGTTGTCCGACTCCCCATTGTTCTCGGTGCCATAGGTTTGGTACCTCCCAATCTGTTGACTGACATTGGGAGAGTACTCGGATTTTCTACAGCCCTTCTGACAATCTGGGTAATGCAGGATGCTGCAGTGTTTGGGAGTCTTCACATTCTCCGAAAATGTTCTGGATGGGTTTGACTAGGCAGCCCTTACTGGGAGAAGTCCCATTCGCTGTGTGGGCTGTGTGTATAGGGGGCAAGGGCCCTGAGCTGATGATGAGCCTAACGAGCCTGACTGTGCCAGGATCACCCAAACCCTCTTTGCTGCATTTTATAATTTTAATCTGTACATAATAATAAGAATAAGAATAAGAATAAGAATAATTTTTCCTAGGCGCGGCTTTACATCCACTGTGGAATTCCTAATGACTGCTTTAAACAAGGGTGTTTTTAACCCGGTCTTGAAACTGTTCAGTGTTGGAGAGCATTTCATTTCATCTGGTAGAGTGTTCCATTTTACGACAGCAGAATGTTTTGAAAGAACAGTATCCACACGTCTTCAGGGCATGTACAAATTTAGCAGAGTGAGTGAATGAGCTGTGCAGAGTTACGTCCCTTGAGTACGCCAGAAACCTATGATTGTGGGTTCGAATCCCAGTTCGCCCCGATAATATTTCTAGGTTTGTCAGCTAGGCCACCCGTGATATCACATTACGAAGAGATCTCCAGGGGCCGTTCTTTTATGCACTGGTATGTCAAAGAGAAAACCTGAGCGTGTACTGGGAGCCAACGAAGAGACTCAGTATTGGTGTGCTGTGAGTTGATGTCAATGGCGCGATCCGTAAAGCAGTGCCGTGGACGCTTTGTCGCCTTTTGTGCCACTTGCTATTGAGTAAAACCTGTTCCACCATGGCCCCGCATATTAATTATAACCTTTTGAATTGTAAAATAAACACCACTCTGCAATGACGCAACTGCTTTTTACCCTTTCACTGCCTTGAGGATAGAACAATATCACGAAAAACGTCGAACCCGCGAACACCGCACCGAAGGCGAACGAATGTAGTCTTCCGTAACGGCGACATGGAGGACATTTTATGAAATAAACAATTAAATAAGTTAATAATTTATCCTTTCTGAACGGTGAAATGTGTGTTTTATGCAGAACGTTGTATGATATTCTATGCATTGTATATACGTGTGATTCGGTAGGTTTTCGTTCACAGAAACAAACAGATTAAAAAGAAATTATTCTTGTATTGATCAGGGCTATGTTTACGCATGAGTGGCCCATCATCATTTGCAAGTAATACTTAGGAGATAAATGTGCTCGAATTGGGCCTGTGTGAATTGTATACTTGCCCTGTAATATGTATTTCATAACCCGAGGGGCAAAAAGCGACGTGCACGCGAAAGGTTCAGGAAACATTCCACGTACATCACCGTAGGGCCAACTTACACAGTGTTCTCGCAGTTTTGCTTGGAGTTCTTGAATATCTTTCGAAATACGGTTAACAAGCATTGTGTTGAAACATTTTAGGTGCTTAGGTTCCTTGAATGATGGCCATTGACTTGCCTTTGCATGTGTTTGTGACACATGTTCGCGAACACCAGGTGTCATCACTATTTGATAGTAATTCATAAACACATGCTCATAAAAAAGTCGGGATCGTACAATCGACTTTGCTTTTGGCAGAGAATACGGAAAGGTTTTTTTATGAATACGGAAAGGGTTTTGTCGCTTTTATAGAATAGACCATTTGGACAATGTTGTCTTATCGTTGAGATGGTTATTTAGAGCCACACAAGACATCATGATACATGATTAACTCAATAAGAAAGTTCAAAGACAAAACGGAAGTAATTAATGGAAGGAAACTATGATAAACGGGATTGCAAAGTTTATCTAATTCGTGATGTGTGGGATCACTGATCCCCCTTGGAGATCTGGGGTACTGTTGGTCTTTAGCAACCCGTGCTTGCGGTAAATGGCAGCTATGCTTGTCGTAAGAGTCGACTAACGGGATCGGGTGGTCAGGCTCGCTGACTGGGTTGATGCATGTCATCGTATCCCAGTTGCGTGGATCGATGCTCATGATATCAATCACTGGATTGTCCTGACTGAATTATGTTCAAACAGCCGTCATATAGCTGAGTGTGTGTGTGTGTGTGTGTGTGTGTGTGTGTGTGTGTGTGTGTGTGTGTGGCTGCTTGTACTGGTCCGGACTGATGCCGATTTAAAGTGCTAGTTCACTGAGATATCATGCCGCAGTTTAACATGAATACCCCACAGCATACTGACTCCGAGCCGACCAGTCCTTGTTTTAGCAACTTAATGCCGAGCGCCAGACAGGGTAACAACAAGTACTATCTTTTAACGTCTTTTGGTATGACGCGGCCGGGGATCGAACCCCGTACCCCACCACCAGACCACGGAGGCGGTCTGTATATTACAGGAAATAATGTTTACCTGATAACTGTAGGGAACTGTTCTGCGCACAAAGTCATAGAAACTAGCCACCCAGACGAGATTGTAAATTTGGCTGCTATTGCGCATGCGTTGATGTAATTTCCTCTTTCATCAGCAGGTGCTAAACATACAGAAATGTTTGGTAAATAAACGCTTGGTGCACACAACAACTGAGCTGCTTGCCTTTTACATTTTAAAAGAGTAAACGACTAAACAGAACAGGCTAAAACCATACTTGCTGACATCGACCTGCTCCACTGTATTCTGCTTCAATTTTTACTATATTATCTACCCGTGCGTATCCAGTTACAATTGGTCTTCAGAAACCCATGCTTGTCGTAAGAGGCGACTAACGTTACTGGGTGATCAGGCTCGCTAACTAGGTTGATGCATGTCGTTGTATCCTAATTGCGTGGATCGATGCTCATGATATCAGTCACTGAATTGTCTGGTCCAGTGAGTGAGTGGGGATTGACTCGATTATTATTATTGTTATTTACTGACCGCCGTCATATACCTGGAACTTTGCGGCGTTAAACAACAAAGAAGCATGATTAATAACGGGTTTTTTCTATTATTATTATTTAGTTCGAAATGAAACAAACATTTTAAGATTTGTAGGTTATGAGCAGATAAACAAACCGACGTCAGTTTTGTTGGTTGACAGCTGTATAATACCTGCAACCTGCTAGCTCGTGTATCCGAAATCTTGAAAAGATTGTAATTATTTGCAGACTGCCTTAACTCAGCTGGAATATTGCTGGGTGCGGCTTTAAACAATAAGCAAACAAACAATTTTATCTAATAAATGCAACACAGCTGACTGTACCTAACCGTGTTGATATTGCCAGTCCAAAGCACAATGCAGCCGCCAAGAAGAATGGTAACGCAGCCCCAACTCGCCGTCCGAAACTGTGAACAGGATGAGCATGCACACATTTAGTGAGTGAGTGAGTGAATTGGGTTTAACGCCGCTTTGAACAATATGCCAACCTTATAATGTTGGAGTGAGTGAGTGAATTGGGTTTAACGCCGCTTTGAACAATATGCCAACCTTATAATGTTGGAGTGAGTGAGTGAATGAATTGGGTTTAACGCCGCTTTGAACAATATGCCAACCTTATAATGTTGGAGTGAGTGAGTGAGTGAATTGGGTTTAACGCCGCTTTGAACAATATGCCAACCTTATAATGTTGGAGTGAGTGAGTGAATTGGGTTTAACGCCGCTTTGAACAATATGCCAACCTGATAATGTTGGAGTGAGTGAGTGAGTGAATTGGGTTTAACGCCGCTTTGAACAATATGCCAACCTTATAATGTTGGAAGAGCCTTAAATGATGCAGGTCTCAGACCTTTACCACTTTGGTGATACCCACGAACATGGGAATGGTACTGATAAACCTAGAAACATAATGAGCAACGTTAAACCCAATTTCACCTCACCTCAAAACATGTAATTTCTGAGAAAAACGCACTAAGTTTAAGGGAACGAATAATTATTAGAATGCGCTCAAGAACAATGAAAAATGTAAAGATAGCAAAAAATGGTAAAAGTGTGCAATCAAACTTCGTTATAATAATCTTTTACAATAAAGGAAGATCTGTACGATATTAACCCGTTTTACATTAAGTGTTAACAGGTAAATGCTTACAAGAAAAGTACTTTTTACATTTAGGGTTGTAACACTATTTGTATTCTAATACAATTAATGGCATAACGGATGCACAACTACATAATTAAAATCGAGTTTATCAGACATATGATATCGATAGATTAACCATAAGCCTATTAGTTATCGTTGTCATCTGAATATATACCATACTTATTGAAGATTTAGGCATTGATATGGCAACTTGTTAACAGATGAATTCGATCAGTAGGTTTTAGAATCCTTCAAATATATTAATTTTAAAGCTGCGTTGATTATGGATTACATATTGTTTTGTGTATTACAATATCGCCCCATGTAAAGCAGTTGGCAAAACTTCCATCTTGAAAACTCACAAAGAGGTGATGAAGATCATGCAAGGAGTTATAGGCAACTCTGTGAGAGCCATTAATGTCAGGTTCATGTAGAAGTCACCAGACAGATTCTTCAGGCCGAAGGCTATACCATAGTATACTACAGCGCATCCAAACCTAGTGGCAAAAACACAAACCAATTACATCCACATGCTGTAACGTTGAATGCACTCACAGAAGTCAAGAAGTTACTGAGAGTTCTGAAATTGCATTGTGTAACATCAGTGAAAGACTTCTTCGCTAAAATGAAAGAAGCTACTTAAAGTATAATACCGATGACCTTTTAGACTAGAAATAATACAAGCAAACACTGAAATACATGCAGCGGAACCATTTCATATTTTTTATTCTGTACAAATCAAGAACAATTTACGTCTTTTCAGAAAAAAAATGTTTCTGATATACCCTCTTTACTATTACTTTAACTTCGACTTAACCAGCACAATTATATTATCAATGTCTACGAGTGATTATGGCAGGCAACTTTCAGACCAGGTGAACGTTCACACATGATCTGCGGCATCGTAGAGAAGGCAATATGCTTTAATAGAAATCAAATGGTAAATATGAATATAGAACCAGTCATAAAACACTGAATTATTTGCATGCAATTCCATTTACTTCCACGGCATTGCAAACCTGTCTCTCTCACAAGTCTTTCTGCATAAAAAGGAGGATGTTCAGGCCAAGCTTACCAGATAAAACATGAATAAAATGTTTTCTTGAAGAGTTTCTTTGTCCTCAGTAGATCCAGATAAGAGTAGTTCCTGGTTTGTTTCCCCTCCGCCTTCTCCTCCTCAGCTATCAGCTCCAGGATGGACGTGTCCGGAACTGGCTTCTTGTTGTAGGCCGCCATCTTGTTGATGACACTTTTCGCCTCCTCCAGACGTCCTTTCACAGTAAGCCAACGAAGCGATTCTGGTACAAAGCTACAAGATCACTTAATAACTTAAATACTTTGTTACACAGTGATTTTGGCTTGGTAATATGATCTCCATTAAATGTCATCAAGATGAGCCATCCCCAGCCCTCTCTGCATAAGGACCAGCACTGAGCCTGTTAATGGAATGTCAATTTGTAACGTGAAACTCCACAGTCTCTGCTCAGATCCGAGCACATTCTGACCACTGGAGGATATAGTATAAAGGCACGTTTCCACTTGTAACAATTTTTAATTGACAACATTAGAAAGATTATGTCCAATAAATGAATGACAAAACTTTGTTATAAGATATGATTATCTTCATGATTGTGAAAGACCACGTTTTTGTTCTTTAAATCTTATACTTACAACCATGTACAGAGGTATGGGATTGTCAAAGCTGCCACTGCGAGATGGATCCATTTCCAGTTGTGGAGCCATTTAGCTAAGATACTCAATATCAACATCCCTAGAGGCCAGTCAGGCAGTGCTGCAACAAAGGCCCGCCATTTGGTTCCAACAAATTCTATCTGGTACAGGTATACAGTTGCCAAGAGAAGACCACATCCCACGCCAAGAAATGCTCTCACGAATGTAAACATGATCCAGGAAACGGAAAAGGCTGATACGATGTTTCCAATGCAGGTCACAAATAATCCACCATAGAAGACCTTCTTCCGTCCGTATTTGTCTGCACAGTAGCCAGCGATTATTGCACCCACAAGCAAACCGGCCATTTGGACAGATATTATGGCATTGCTGACCCAACTCATTTCACAGACCAAATTCCACTGAAATAAAGCAAACCGAAACGTCGTTTAGTAAAGTATACAAGACAGCTTCACGATAAATCTCAACGAAGAATGAAAAACGAAGAGTGGTTTATTTCACGATAAAACATTGTTCTATCATGACGTCATTTCTGGATATTCGAACATGCGCTCACATCTTGATGACGTCATAAATTGGCGACGTTATTTTTGAGAGGGAAGTGTCGCGTGAGTTATTCCCCATAGATGTAACTGGGCAGCGCAGATGAAAAGTGGGAGAGATATGACAATCGGTATTGGGTGAAAAGGTGCGGATAATTGTCATAAACATTGTGAGAATACCAAACTTAACCTTGAAAAGGCTGTACAACATGTTGATATCTCATATAAAAAATAATCGACTCGTTGTCGTTGTCTATCGTACAATAAAACACTGCAGGGAGATTAAACCATGAGGGGCGCCACTCGTCGTTTATTTCTTAAATAGAACGGTTTTAAGATTAGGTGGGACTGATGACGTTTTGTTTCCACATTGATCGTGATTTGCATCCTATAAGTGTTGTAAAGTCCTAAACGATGCACTGTAAACAATGTTTGTGTTGTCATAATGAGAGAAACAACAAAGATAAGTTGGCTTGCCGTTTTACTCCTCTGTAAGTCACAAATATGAACAAAAAAATAGATTGCGTTTTCACATATTTAAGTGTAAGTGCAATAAACTGGGACTGTAACTATAACAACAAAATAATCCCCGATCGATAGAAGAATACATTTTTTCCTTAAGTTTGTAATATGAGATACAAAATTGAAAATCAAATGTTCTTTGAGAATTGAGTATTCACATGGTAATAATTCCACTTGCCTCAAAGTATTTTCTGTGAATATATGGAAAATCCTTCCTTGATTGGATTGAGGATTATGGTTAATGAAATAGAGACTTCAGGATGTAGAATCAAGCCAAAGGCTGACAGTACTGAAGCGTGGTTTTGGCAGAGCTGTGACATTATTGGATATGTCAGTTATACCAAGTTCTTTGACCAGATAATTAATGTAGTGATGGTCAGTGGAAACAACTACAAACAGACTTTGGATGAGAGCTGGTTGGGACATCGTGGATGTATTCGAATTCTGTTGTCACATTTCAGTTTGTGTATTCTACCAATGACAACATCATGCACTGACTAAATCCACTCTGACGTACATTTAACAGGTTCCTCTTTTTTACCGACCCATATTGGCATATGCTTCTGCAGCATCCCTAAAGATTGTACAGTTGTGGTCTCAGTTGGTCATGTGCTGTTCATTTTGAGCCAAATGTAAATAATATGGCATTGTCAATAATAGCGTCTCCTGTGATAAAATCATCTACAGGGAGGGAGTAGTATGGTGAGCCTTGGCAGCCACAAGTTACATCATGAGCTGCCAAATCCACCTTCTGCAGCAGGTCCCTACAATTGAACGCCTTTGAAGAAACGGTAGGAAAATGAAACTGTTGGTAGTTCCTGGAATGTGATACGTTTTGGGACATTTAGGGAATATAACTTTTTTCTGAGAAGGTTACTTGTGTTTAAAGCATCACTCTCCTTGGCTGCAAATTTCAAAATCTGAAGAATATTGAGCATACCTCTGTGACTGCCGTCTCCATGACATCACTGAACTTCCTCTCACATGTTCCGTTCCATAAGCAATTTTGATAGCTTCCGTTCAGTTGACTCGTGTTCCACTGGCTGAGTTCAGTGTCACCAGATGTACACCACCATGCAGGCTCCACACCAGCAAATGCCATCATCAACATCGTCTGAACAATTATTATCTTTGAACAGGCCAATGTCGGAATTAAGATTTTTTGGTAAAGACCAAATCCTCCGATATCTTCAATGAGACCTTCCAAATGCATGATGATCTTCAGTGCTATCTGTGATGGTCGTTGTATTGACTGAGTCTGATGTATCTGACATAGAAAAACCAAATACATCATAGCAACAGAATTTGAATTCATGGCAAGACAATGTCAGTCCAATTGTCATTAACCAAATAATATTGTATACTTGATATATACCAATAACCTTTTTCCTGACACTTAATGATTCAGTTTGGATCTATCAAAACGCCAGGCAATAAACTGATTGTAAACGGTCCATTATTATTATTATTAATGGTAGTAGAAGTATTATAAGTAGCAGTAGTAGTAGTAATAGTAGTATAAGTAATAGTAGTAGAATAAGTAGTAGTGGTAGTGGTAGTAGTAGTAGTAGTAGTAGTAGTAGTAGTAGAAGTAGTAGTATTATAAGTAGTAGTGGTAGTGGTAGTAGTAGCAGTAGTAGTGGTAGTAGTAGTAGTAGTAATAGTGGTGGTAGTAGTAGTAGTAGTAGTGGTTGTAGTAGTAGTGGTAGTAGTAGTAGCAGTTATAGTGGTAGTAGTAGTAGTAGTGGTAGTAGTAGTAGTAGTGGTAGTAGTAGCAGTAGTAGTAGTAGTAGTAGTGGTTGTAGTATTAATGGTAGTAGTATAAGTAGTAGTAGTAGTAATAGTGGTAGTAGTAGTAGCAGTAGTAGTAGTAGTATTATAAGTAGTAGTGGTAGTGGTAGTAGTAGTAGTAGTAGTAGTGGTAGTAGTAGTAGCAGTAGTAGCGGTAGTAGTAGTTGTAATACCGGTGGTAGTAGTAGTAGTGGTAGTGGTAGTGGTAGTAGTAGTATTAGTAGTAGTAGTAGTGGTAGTAGAAGTAGCAGTAGTAGTAGTAGTAGTAGTAGTAGTAGTGGTAGTGGTAGTGGTAGTAGTAGTAGCAGTAGTAGTAGTAGTAGTAGTAGTAGTAGTAGTAGTGGTAGTGGTAGTGGTAGTAGTAGTAGTAGTAGTAGTAGTAGTAGTGGTGATGGTGGTGGTGGCTGCACATTTGAATGAACAGGCAATTCTTGGGCCAAAATATCATAAAGAAACATGTATAGAAAAATAATTATACTAAACAACAAAAGTTCCTGTGACACCAATATTTCAGTGTATTTTTCAAACAAGTAAAGTTTGGTTTTCAATATTGTAGTACATGTATGGAATCAAGTCACAAAAACGCAACTGCTACAGGAAAGCATGCATTCCAAGGAAGCCCCATGCATTTCACTACCCAAGAATGGGTATAAAAACATGTACGTTAACGGCATTCCATATGCATTGTTTAGCATCTTGCTGAAAAAAAACACTCAGAAAAACAACAAAATTACGCAATTATTCAACATTACGAAATGCCACGCCTGTCCGAAAATGAGCGTCTGCGAGCCATTGGTATGCTTGAAGCAGGATCGAGTCAACGTGATGTTGCAAGATAATTTAACGTCCACAGAAACACCATTTGGTATTTATGGCAACGTTGGCAACAGACGAATGAAGTCAGAGACCATCCTCGGAGTGGCAGGCCACGCGTAACCAATAATCGACAAGACAACTGGATTCGACCAACACACCTACGAAATCGATTCCAGTCAGCAACAGTGACTACAAGAAGCATCCCTGGCCTTCGACGAATATCTTCGCAAACCGTACGCCGCCCCCTCAGATGTGCAGGGATTGTCGCCAGAAGACCCGCCAGACGTCCCATTTTGACAGGAAACCACCGCCAACCACGTCTACAGTGGTGCAGACAACGTCTATGCTGGACGGCAATGCAGCGGGGACAAGTTCTATTCAATGACGAGTCTCGTTTTCACCTCAGCCACCGCGATGGATGGATTCGAGTGTACCGACGTCGAGGTGAACGTTACGTCAATCATTGTGTCATGGAAGAAGATCGGTTCGGGGGCGGCAGCGTTATGGTATGGGGTGGGATTACAGCAAGACAGAGGACCTGTTTGATAGTCGTAGAGGGAAATCTCAATGAACAGCGCTACTGCGGCGAGATCATCGGCCCTGTTGTTCTATCGTTTTTGCGTCGTCGTGGCCCAGGCATTACCTTTCAACATGACAACGCCCGGCCTCATATTGCTCGACTTGTTCAGGATTCTCTTCAACAAAACAACGTGAATGTCATCTTCTGGCCGGTTCGCTCCCCTGATCTCTCACCAATCGAGCACATGTGGGATGAGATGGATCGGCACCTTCGACGTCAACCACGTGTTCCACAGACACTCCAGGAACTTCGAAACATGCTCCAGCAGATATGGACAGATATCCCACAGGACTTTGTGCACCGCCTGGTCCATTCCATGAGACGAAGATGCGTTGCTTGCATCGCAACCAGAGGTGGACACACACGCTATTGATTTATAAATTGACATTTTGGCATGTTCATGGGTTTTTTTTATGAAATCACGCATTTTCTGAAGTCAGTATGGCAAATGAAACCATTTGAACACTTACAGGAGTATTTTATCTGTTGCAGACCGAAATTGTTTCAGATTTGGTAAAAAACATATGTTTGCATTAAATCTTATTCAATGTCACAGGAACTTTTGTTGTTCAGTATATATTGAAGCACCCATAGTCATACAGAGATAACCCATAGTCATACAGAGATAACCTATAGTCATACAGAGATAACCAATAGTCATACAGAGATAACCCAGAGTCATACAGAGATAACTCATAGCCATACAGATATAACCCATAGTCATACAGATATAACCCATAGTCATACAGAGATAACCTATAGTCATACAGAGATAACCAATAGTCATACAGAGATAACCCATAGTCATACAGAGATAAGCCATAGTCATACAGAGATAACCCATAGTCATACAGAGATAACCCATAGTCATACAGAGATAACCCATAGTCATACAGAGATAACCTATAGTCATACAGATATAACCCAGAGTCATACAGAGATAACCCAGAGTCATACAGAGATAACCCATAGCCATACAGAGATAACCCAGAGTCATACAGAGATAACCCATAGTCATACAGATATAACCCATAGTCATACAGAGATAATCCAGAGTCATACAGAGATAACCCATAGTCATACAGATATAACCCAGAGTCATACAGATATAACCCATAGTCATACAGAGATAACCCAGAGTCATACAGAGATAATCCAGAGTCATACAGAGATAACCCAGAGTCATACAGAGATAACCCAGAGTCATACAGATATAACCCAGAGTCATACAGAGATAACCCAGAGTCATACAGATATAACCCAGAGTCATACAGAGATAACCCAGAGTCATACAGAGATAATCCAGAGTCATACAGAGATAACCCAGAGTCATACAGAGATAACCCAGAGTCATACAATAAACATCATGTAATCTGACACCGTTCAAACACAGTGTTGTATCTGCAAATGCCTAGTAGATACTCACTTCTTTTTAAAAGATATTTCCTTATAAATAAAAAAAAGAAGGTCGATGTTTCACAGAGAGTACTGCTCTCTTCAGCATACGATATAGATGTAGCACAGACTAGTTGGTAGCACGGAAGTGCTGTGTCACAGGATATGCCACATCACGATGTGACGTGCTTGTGATAAGATTAAATAATCTGAAAATGTCAAGTGTATCGTTACACAACAAAACGGCACTCTTTTTGTGAAAGCAGGTGCAACTGGTACTTTCTTACCTCTTTGGACTACATATCTTTCAGATATTCAATTATGATTCCATTATGATCAAAGTAGATCGATGTAACGCTGAAGGCTTCCCTCTGTTTAGGTAATGGAAACTACGTCAGCTATAGCACAGCTTAGTCAGATGTGCGAGGGACGTGTGTCACAGATTGATATAAGGAAGTCTTAATAATGTCCACAAAAACGCCCAGCTTCCTGATTCAATGTATGGCTTTGTGAGTTGTGTGGACAAAATGTCAGCCATAATGACACAACTGTAGCGCAATAATGTCAGCCATAATAACACAACTGTAGCGCAATAATGTCAGCCATAATGACACAACTGTAGCGCAATAATGTCAGTAATAATGACACAACTGTAGCGCAATAATGCCGGCCATAATGACACAACTGTAGCGCAATAATGTCAGCCATAATGACACAACTGTAGCGCAATAATGTCAGCCATAATGACACAACTGCAATTAAGCATGCAAAGTTAAAGCTCAAAGGAACCTTAATAGTAATTCTTCTCAAATAAACAGCCAGGGGTTAAATATTTGAATGGGGAAAGTCCCTTTAGGCGACCAAAGTGGTTTAGTCTTTTAGAATCACTTTGAACCAAAAGCTAGTGTAGTTTCGAATTGGCTGTAATGGGTTCTTTTTTGTGTAATGTTTATCGACAACATTCGCAACTTTTTTTTCTGAAAATGTGTTTGGCTGTTGATACATGACGGCCACAGTTAATCCACATCCAGAACTTGAATATTCTCTGTCGTGTGGCAGGAGTACTGCTGAGCGGAATAGGGCAACACATAACTTTATATGCCTATTGTGGGAGTGGCGGGTTCTACCTGTGGGGCAGGACTTGCTTACCTTTTTCGCGAGCACCTGGTGTCATCACTGATTTTCAGTGATCCATTCATTTTCATCGCTTTTTGCCTTTTACGCCCAATGTAATCGGTTTCGTCGGATAACCGAGACTGGGTATTCTCTAGCGTCAAGGGAAACGAAACTCCGTTGTTGGTTGGTTGGTTGGTTTGTTGTTTTACGCCACATTCAGCGATATTCCAGCTATATGACGGCGGTCTGTAAATAATAGAATCTGGACCAGACAATCCAGTAATAAATATCATGAGCATCGATCCACGCAATTGGGATCGATAACATGCTTCAACCAAGTCAGCGAGCCTGACCACCTGATCCCATTATTCGCCTCTTACGACAAGCATAGTCGCCTTTTACGGCAAGCATGGGTTGCTGAAGACCTATTCAACCCCGAATCTTCACGGGTCGAAACAACAGGGAATTCTATCACCCTAGATGGCGTCAATGGAGCAAAGATGATTTCTGACATAAAATGTGACATATGGCTTTTTGCACTGAATTGGTTTAAAATAATTATTTTTTGTATTATCAAATATTCGTACATAGATGATACGGCAGTCTGAATGTGTATCATACACGTGTCGGAATAGAAACATAAATCAGCTGCGTACTGCCAACAAAAAATAATGTAGCTGTCGTTGAGGTGAAAATTTACATTACCGTGGCGTTGCATCTGAACGCAACATCTAGTCATTTCCCATCCTGGAGGAACAGTTCGTGTTAAAGGCGTCATGTGAAGGGTGTGACCCTAACAGCTTACGATAGGCGGCAAAGATTACGTTGGGACGGGCTTTGCGATAATGGCGTTACACCATGTTTACAGATGATGAAGGTTTTCCCTCCAATTCACAGATGGCAGAAAAGGTTTTTGGCGACGTAGCGGCGATCGGTATGCCAGGGCAACAATTCTTGACTATGATCGGAATGGAGGAAGTAGTGTCATGGTAAAGGACGGTAGTGTCACACATGACAGGTAAACTGATTTGGTTATTGCGAATGGACATTTGACTGGCCAGCGATATGGTGACGCCTTTTACTTCCATTCGCTAGAATAATCGTTAGAAATATTGAACTGCAAGATGACAATGTCAGACCACATCATGCCCAGATCGTCACCGAGTATCCTTGCCGAGACGGCATACGAACATTGGACCATCTGTAGGATATTCTCGGGCGGATAGTGTATGCTAGCGACCCAGCGACCCATGCCGACGTGGTCCAGCTTGGGGTAATGGCAAGCAAGGCAACCAAACACAAGTGAATCAACAGTATGCCATCAAGGTGTCATGCATGTATCGCCCACATGGTGGACACACCGGATGTCGATCTACACGCCCGAAAACAGTTTTCCTCACTACATTTTCACAATCATCTCATCAGTTCCCTTATTTTACGTCGGTAGTATAGAAATCGGCAGAACAATTCCAACAATTGCATGTTTTGTACAGATGATGCGTTGATTTGATGCTTGAAATATATTATATATTATAATATATTAAAATAAATGAAAGTATGGTGGACAGGATTATTCGCAGTGTCATTACTAGTAGTAGAATGGACAGTCGGTAATTGCGTTACACCACTGTTGCATCACGACTTCGCTCAACCATGCATATATGTATGTACACGAAGGCACGTCGATGCGCATATGTACGATTACATATAAGGTGTTTGAAAAAAGGTGTTCACTAGCGCCCTGCATTTCGCAACCATCGATATTACAGTTTTCGGCCCCATCCATGACCAAAAGAAAACAAATAGTAAAGATGTCTCTTAAGCATATACGTTATACCAGCGTAAATGAACAACGAGTTGTCTCCATGATCCTTTACGATAACATGCTAAAATTGAACAAATGAAGATAACATCATGTGAATGAACTGGTTTATTAAACAAGATGATTCAAGAAAATTTGAAAATACCTACTGTTCATCAGCATTGATATACAAACAAATCTATGTTACACAAACCGTTGAGAGAGATACGCGACCTTACTGTAGTATCATGACACAGCAGCTCAGATCGCCTGATGAGCTGAATGAGCTGAATGCAGAGTATCGGGAGGACTCCAGGTTTCGAGTGTCAATAAACAACATGCTTCCTATCATAACAGATTGCTAGACAACCAGAATTACAGTGTTGGAGATTTCTTCCGTCGTTTCATTTCCGTAAATCTGCTTTTTAGAATCAAATTCTTTTTTTTATTTTCACAGTTACAAATATTTTGATCATGAAGGTGATCAAAACGTCTGTTCATCCAGATAGTTTTAAAATATATTAAACTCACCACCTTCCTGTTTTTAAAACTATATATTTCACACCAAAGCATTCACCAAATCTCATTATGAGCAGAGACTTTTAAATGACTTGTGATAATATGTTGGCTTTTTGTTGTTTAACAATACACTCCATATGCATATGACGTCAGCCCGTAGAAAATCGCGTCTGGACAATGCAACCTATCCTGTAAACATTGTCATCACTTTTTCTCGTATCACATGCTTTGAATTCAAACCAAACTAAACATTATTAGCCAGGTTGTTCTTAGAACGAGAAGCAATTTTGTCTCTGAACAAGTCCTTTTATTTAAGAATTGACTTAGAGATATAAACGGAAAAAGGTGTGCATATTGTGAAATCCGTATAACCCCATAAAATCAAAAACATATTGAAGTCTATTAATATATAACGTCAACAATAATAACTTCAGACTGCTTATTAAAACATTAACTCACACAAACATGTAGACAACAATACGAAATCAGTGACATCTGTCAGCGCTGTATACAAAACAAGCCTCACCCATTCTATTATCAACCATTCAAGGAGTCCGATAGTGGGCGTGTCATAAAATGTTTCGAAAGAAAAAGTTGTTTGTTTAGCCAATCAAATGCCTCGGATAGTCTTTTAGTTCCCTTTTTGTTTTAATATCCTCATTTTTCACCCAACCAGTCACTTTAATTATTCTTGTTTATGTGCTATTTCGTCGGGGGCACGGGTGTCCATGTCGTCTGAGGCATCGCAATTCGCTGTACGTCCCTTGGGTACACCAGAAACTTATGGTTATGGGTTCGAATCCCGGTTCGCCCCGATTATGTTTCTAGGTCTGTCTGCACCATACCCATGCTCGTGGGTTTCACGGAAGTGGTAAACGCCTGAGACCTGCATCACTTCGGGTTTTCTTCCAACATTAAGCTGACACGCCTCTTTGTTTCATTCACTCACTCTTTATTTCATCTCTGCATACACCATCCCTAACATCCATAAGCCCCGTCCCAATATCACTGACGTCCTGGTCATCTAGCGTGACATATCCATCTTTATCACCCTTGTCGAATTCGTGTCCATTGCTGTCAACATCGTTTGGTCCATTCTCTTGAATTATTACAGCTTCAGGGTTTAGTTCCATAAAACCATTCCTCGTGTGACCACAGTCAGAGACGCCTGCATCAGCATCAGCTTTGTCACAGGCATAATCGGTTTCGGATGACATGTTTACTTCTCGTTCATCTGAATCAGACAACATGACATATTTCTGGTTCTTGGCCAATTCACTACAACCGTTTTCTACAACACCCTTGCCACCCTCGCCAAGCATATGTGTATCGTTCCCTTCAGTAAATGACGCATCTGTGTCCTCGACTATACCATCAATATCCTTTCTGAGGGGGATCATCTCCTCTGGTTTGTCATTGGGCTTCTTCGTTATCTTTACCTCCATTGTGTCCTCCAGCGCACGACCGCTGGTTTCTTTCAGCAACAACGTCACAACGCCATTCATGAAGATCAAAACGCCCATGGCGGCAAACGGTGACATGAGGTCATCCTTGCCTCCCTGCATAAAGAAATATATATATGAATCCAGAGAATATTTAACATGTATAATGTATATTTGGGCGGCCCATGAGTTATGAGACTTTACTCATACCACGTTTGCATGAATTAGGGACTCTCATTTGATATTCCGGGGCTTGGATTTTCTCACCCAAAAGCATTGTTCCACATATTCTTTAAAAAAATAATTATGCTTCAAACCGTTGAAAGAAAAATTGCCTGCGACAAACATGACATTGTTGCAAGGTGTTTTTCTTATTTTCAAATTCTGGCGCATTGTCTTAAATAAAAATATATCTGGTTTTGTGGCAGTAGCTGAACAAATATATCTCGATACAAAATACCGTCTGAGAAATTACAAAAGTGCAGTCTTTAGACACTTATCTCTTTGGTGAAAAGCTTAACCAAGGATCATAATCAGGGTGAAACCCACAATCAGAGGATCCTGTTACGAAAATGTGTATGACTAAGAGTTGGTCATACTTACTTTAAGTTTTTAGCTTTATTTACAATGCTCTTAGCCTAAGGGGACTTTGTGAAAGGTGTAATAGTCAAATTGTTTATTTCTATTTTCAATCAATTATGACAGCTCAATTGGTTAAGGAGATATAAAATCTGTTTTTTACAATTTCCACAAATTATGTATTGCACACAACAACAGTATTATACAATATGAAATAATTGTAATGGTTATGATGTCTATTTTAATTTCCTGGTATTGAATGTTTCATTTTTGTTTCTAAAGTAATTGTGAGGCATTTTTATTCACTCATTTGAAAATTCATAAATAGGAATTTGTTTGTAAATGCATCTACGTAATTTCTACCATACATAGTAACTTCATTCTTCATAATTTAGGTTTTGTGGCTGATTTAGACTTGGCTTATGGAAATTTGGCCTAGACTTCAACTTTTGTTCATAAGTAGGAAAGGTATATGAAATATTAAGCTTCCTGATTATTTAGTGCAGTTAAGGTATTGTTTTTGCACATTTTATTGGACTATTATGTACTAAGTGCAATTTCCAGGTTTGTGTTATAATTTACCTTATTGTCAAATGCCTTTGTAAAGTAAACAGGCCCAACCTAGTATAATACTGCTGTATTATGAAGTAAATGTGTAACTTAAGGAAATTTAAAAGCAACATTCTCAATGAAATCCTTTCTATCTGTCACAGTTAATCTAATGTTTGTACATGAGAAACAAGAATAAGGAAAGATTTAAGAGTTAAGATTATTGTAATCAACAAAAGTGCCCTTCCCTTGGGCTATGGGCAAAGTTACGATCACCTTAGACTAAGGGGGCTCTGTATTAGCGGGCCCTGGACTACTAGTGTCCCCCCAAGGAACCATTCCTTACGACAATGTCTTCAGACTATGGGTTTGTTCGAACTGTACTGTATTGACAGACGCATGGATCAACGTACATGAAACAGATCCACTACATAAAGCAGATAAAGACTCTGAATTATAACATTTGAAGGGCCCATGAACTTCCATACCAGCGACAAAACTTGTGCTGCCAGTATCCCTCCAAGTCTGGCTACTGTGTTCTGCGACGCATAGGCAAGGTTCCTGAAAACAGACAGACAGAGAACAGACGTAAAAATGTCCATTCGGATCACACAAAAACAAATCAGTTCCTGGAAATATGCAATCAGTAGAATTGAGTGTTCATTCCCAACATGAACTATTACATAATCTTATTTTAATTCCACTATAACTATCGCGACACCATTCACAATATTGCCCATGTTATATACAAAAATATCATGTTTCAGGATACCCGCACTGGTCCAAATTACATTACTTACAGCTTTACTTATCCCTTCAATCTCACTTCTCCTAAAAGTATCAAGTCTGTCAGGTTCAACTGCAAACCAAATTTGGTACAAACATCAAGTCGAACGTGCACATATTTTGATGAAAAGGATTTTTTTTCTGTCACGGCTTCCAGACATTCATTTCATGATAAGTGGAGTGCAGTAACTGATCACTTTTGCGATTTGGTGTTGGGATTGGAGGTGTATTTCTACCTGATGACTGTTGGGTATTGCTCACTCGACAGTGCTTGCGAGAGGGCCCATGCTGATATAGTTAGAAACTTAGCCAGTTGTGCAAACGCGTTCTCCAGGGTGCCTTTCATGTGAGGAGGGGCTAGGTCCAACAGAAAGTGAAACATAAACCTACAATCTCTTCTCAAAATACAAAACATTAAAGTGTTTATAACGAATAACCAGTTGAATAAATAATAATCTCATCAAAATCGGATCTGTTACTCCGATGTGATGCCTCTTAAAATGAAGACTTGAGGACACCTCCACAGGAGGTCGCGTAAGTTAGGCGCTGAGCAAACACTGACCATAACATCTAAATGAAAGATGCGTGGCTTCTTTGGGCCACCATATGTCAGCTTTCTAAGACACCTAGCTCATTTGTTTACCACATCGATTCGGAATTTCTATTTGTACAAATAAAAAAAAACAAGATGCTCCCGGTTGCTTTGGGTGTGGATGCCATGGTGCTCAGAAACGACCGGGTGATTTTAATATCCACACAATATAATGACACGGTCTTTTATCTACATTCGATAGTTCGCTTGCGAGATACAGAAACAAGACAAAGGTCTGAATGTTTCGCTCGCTCGTACTGGGCATCTGAAAGACTCGACGTTACTCTGCTTATAAGAAAGTCTTCATGCAAGTATTGAATCAAAGTGAAATATCTCATTTTAATGAGAGTGAGTAAATTCACAGTCGCCGCGTATTAATACAACAGAATACCAGTTCTTCCTGTGATCAGTTGTCAGAACATTGTCATTGTGACAACGTGTCGACAGCAGAGCACAACATTCATGGCATTTCATCCTTCATTTCCAACCAATCTTGTGACCGTGTAGAACTTACCAAGACGGTTAGCCATTGCAACTCCACAACACGAGAAAGAAGATAGAAAGAACAAAATTGCACAGGACCATCTACGTCCAAATCTGAAATATTCATCATCAGTGTTATTTCAAAATCTGAAACACAAATTTTGACAAAAGAAATGTGTTAACCCTTCCACAGTCATATATGTACATGTGCTTGAGCGAGGTGTAAACAATCTTGTGTGACATTCTTATTTCATTCTGTCAAGTATCACTGTTTCCATTTACATTAGGGGCGGTTGGGTAGCCTAGCGGTTAAAGCGTTCGCCCATCACGCCGAAAACCCGGATTCGATTCCCAACATGGGTACAGTGTGTGAGGCCCATTTCTGGTGTCCCCCGCCTCGTTTAAACAGGTAGTTTTCTCCATAGTTTGTCTGTTTGTTGTTTTACGCCGCACGCAGCAATATTCCAGCTATATGACGTCGATTTGAAAACAACCGAGTTTGGATCAGACAATCCAGTGATTGATATCATGAGCATCGATCCAAGCAATTGGGATCGATGACATGCATCAACCAAGTCAGCGAGTCTGACCACCCTGTCCCGCAAGTCGCCTCTTGCGACTAGCATAGTCGCCTCTTACAACAAGCATGGGTTGCCGAAGACCTATTCTCACTCGGATCTTTACGGATCTTCACAAAAGGAAACACATACAATAGCGACACAAGGAGAACTGCAGGCATGACGGGAAGTTCCAGAACCGCAGTCGTCATCAAGTTCAGATAGAAGTCTCCAGAAAGCTTCCTCACACCAAAGGAGATGGCGTAGTACACAACAGACAAAGTAAACCTTGAATGAAGAAATATATCACCAGGTAAATCACCCATTAAATAAAGTGCATTCTATTATGAACAAGAAATCAACATAACGTATACACATCAGATTTGTTTTGTTTGTTTGGTTGTTGTTTGACGCCGAACTCGGCAATATTCCAGGAGTATAGCGGCGATCTGTAAAAATCGAGTCTGGAACAGGCAATCCTGTGATTGACATCATGAGCATCGATCTACGCAATTGGGATACGGTAACATGCATCAACCAAGTCAGCGAGTCTGACACCCGATCCTGTTAGTCGCCGTTTAGGGCAAGCATGGGTTGCTGAAGACCCATTCTCTACCCGGATCTTCACAGGTTATATAAACATTAGATTACCGAATGTGTTGTCAAATGTGACTTAAAGTCTACCCTTTCGTATGTGTGTATACTTTCTGGATTCCGCTACCTATGTGATACCTCGGCGCGGGCAACGATGGCGTAGGGATAAGGCAGCATTTCACAGTAAAAGATGTGAAGCCACATCCAGCCGCATTTAGCTCGTGTAACCCGACGGCCATTTTAGAAGGGTATTCTGTGTTTTAAAGATCTTTTGGCATACGCCTGAAGACAAAATCGAAAACAGAAACAAACAGAATCAAAGCTGTATTATTATGTAAGCTTCATCGCCAGGTTCTGTTGTGTCATGTGGTAGACACGTGCAGTTCTGGTCCAGGTCATACTGGACTTGAATGGCGCCGAGTCATCTGGATTGAGAGACGGCAGATGACACGGAACTTTAGCCGACATACGTACCAGATATACCATGTGATGACTGTTCTCTTCGTGAGGCTTCTGGTCAGGAAAAGGTGTTTATAAGTATATGATTTTGACTTTTCGCCCTCCGCTTTCTCCTCCTGAGCAATCAGCTCCAAGATGGACGTGTCGGGCATTGGTTTCTTGTTATAGGTCGCCATCTTATTGAGAACACTTCTCGCTTCCTCCAGACGACCTTTCACCGCCAGCCAGCGTAAGGACTCGGGTACAATACTGACAACGTTCACGTGAATACATGAGGCTATGTAGACGTACATACATGGTGGATAAGTGGAATCTGCCTGAAGTTTAAAATTGAGAGCCTATGCATGCAACAGGGTCCAAAGATCGATTTTTGATAAACATTAATTCTTGATTCTATATAGAGACACATCTCCGTTAACAAGTTCCTATTTCTGACTGTCTGGGCGACGGTCTTTCTTTCTTTGAATATTATCAGCAATAACCAATGCAACGTTAAACAATAGAAATAGACCATGACACTCCAGCAGCGTGAATGTAACCATGCCAAATCTTAAATTCCATTCTCTCGACAGAGCTGATGAGGTACATTCCTCCAACCACAACGGTGCATGTATTTTATATTTGAAGTTCCTGCAACCTTATTGTGCAAGGAGGTTATTATTATGCCGAGGTTCCTGCAACCACATTGTGCAAGGAGGTTATTATTATGCCGAGGTTCCTGCAACCACATTGTGCAAGGAGGTTATTATGCCGAGGTTCCTGCAACCACATTGTGCAAGGAGGTTATTATGCCGAGGTTCCTGCAACCACATTGTGCAAGGAGGTTATTATGCCGAAGTTCCTGCAACCACACTGTGCAAGGAGGTTATTATGCCGAGGTTCCTGCAACCACATTGTGCAAGGAGGTTATTATGCCGAGGTTCCTGCAACCACTTTGTGCAAGGAGGTTATTATGCCGAAGTTCCTGCAACCTTATTGTGCAAGGAGGTTATTATGCCGAGGTTCCTGCAACCACATTGTGCAAGGAGGTTATTATGCCGAAGTTCCTGCAACCACACTGTGCAAGGAGGTTATTATATGCCGAGGTTCCTGCAACCTTATTGTGCAAGGAGGTTATTATGCCGAAGATCCTGCAACCACATTGTGCAAGGAGGTTATTATGCCGAGGTTCCTGCAACCACATTGTGCAAGGAGGTTATTATGCCGAAGTTCCTGCAACCACACTGTGCAAGGAGGTTATTATGCCGAGGTTCCTGCAACCACATTGTGCAAGGAGGTTATTATGCCGAGGTTCCTGCAACCACTTTGTGCAAGGAGGTTATTATGCCGAAGTTCCTGCAACCTTATTGTGCAAGGAGGTTATTATGCCGAGGTTCCTGCAACCACATTGTGCAAGGAGGTTATTATGCCGAAGTTCCTGCAACCACACTGTGCAAGGAGGTTATTATATGCCGAGGTTCCTGCAACCTTATTGTGCAAGGAGGTTATTATGCCGAAGATCCTGCAAACACATTGTGCAAGGAGATTATTATGCCGAAGTTCCTGCAACCACATTGTGCAAGGAGGTTATTATGCCGAAGTTCCTCCAACCACAACGCGCATGGGTGTTGTTATTTCGAGGTTCTGGCAAAAGAAGGGGTTGGTTTGCATGGTACCTTAAAATACTTACAACCAACCCAGCAAAAACGGGCATGACAAGGCTGCCGACGCCAGGTGGAGCCACTTCCAGTGTTTGATCCACCACACCATTGCTGCAAATATGACCACGCCTAATGCCCACGTAGGGAGGGATGCCAAGAGAGAACGATACCGTCTTCCCACAAACTCCATTTGGTAAGGGTAGTTTACCGTAAACAGCATCCCAAGAGCGAAACCAAGTAGCAGTCTGTAACAAAGTGGAGGTCAATATAAGTTGTCACCGATCCTTTGGGCCATATGGTGTGATGTACCTGGTGTGTGAGCCTGTGTACCCCTAGCCATCAGTCGAGGGGAAACAGAGGTTCATACACAGGGTACATCTCACCACATGCCCCGAAGTACCAGTTGACAACTAATTTATGTCAGTTTGACAGCTAGTAACGAACCAAGTTACTTCCTTTACCCAAAACATCGGTTCATATCAGCCTAACGATACTTATGCGATATAAGCAAGTTACCTAAGTTGTGTTCCGATTGATTTCTGACCGGGTAACGGAAACTAGTATATAATGTAAGAAGAGATAATGTTATTTGTACATATTGCTTATTCGGGATTAACTTCCTCCAAAGTATCCTCAAACCAGTTCGTCATGTCCGAATTGCGTTATAACCGGAAGTGTTTTGCGATCTGTTCACTCAAGAATTGACTTTCACTTTGTGGGATTTCATTGGAGTATGAACCTTCAGAGAGTGAGGACCAAACTGTATGAACGTCGAAGCTTGCTCAGTGAAAGTCAATTCTTCTTATTTTTATCACAATTTTATACCTCAAAGGATGTATGCCTAGATCTGTACACAATTTGATTTTGCACGTGTGAGTTCCTGTTTACACTGACAGCCATACAACAACCAGCTGTATCGCGGAATAAAATAGTTCCTCAAAAAGAGAAGTGGTATGAGCGTATGTACAACACATGTATTCAAATAATATCACCATTAGATGAGAAAGGTCTCTTAAACTTTTATCATGATCAAAACTGATGGCATTTACACATCTCCCGATTCAGGAAACTCCGAGCATCTAGTATTGGATAAAGTGTTTCTTATTATTGTTAATGCGAACATTGTGTCGATCCCGCCAGCTTAAAGCAAACAGACAAGTCGGAAACCTAATAAGTCTTCAGAGTTTCAGCAAAATGTCCAACACACCTCATTGCAGCAAACATCACCCAGGACACAGAGAAGGCAGTCACGACATTTAAGACGGTGCTCAGAAGTAAAGCCGTGTAAAGGACTTTTTTCCGCCCATATGCGTCTGAGCAGTGACCTGAAATGGCTGCTCCTACAAACACGCCCGCCATTTGGATGGAGATGATGGTGTTTCCGATCCAGCTCTTTTCGCATACCAGATCCCACTAGAATGATAGAATAGCATCACCCATTGATTTCCCCTTGGAGCACGGATATCGGTGCCATTATTTGCTGTAAATTATACAGAGCTTTTGTTACTCGAATTGTTTTGATAGCGAAGCGGCCAATAGCAACGCGACCTCATATGGACGTTTTGTCGAAATTAGAGATACCAATTATGCCATTTATAAAGAATACCGAGTAATGATGAATTATGAATCATCTGTTCCTCGTAAATACATGTTATGGAGAACCAATAAATTATTGTTTTTCGTATTTCTCTAACAATGAATAGCCCCTTGCAAAATCAGAAATATACGATTCCAGTCAGTTTTCCACAGTGTTACGATGTATCGTCTAAGACGATGGTAATACATGGTCCAAGACTTGATATCACCACACACATGAGAATATTGAGAGAATAGACGACGAGCTACGAGGAAGTATTCGTCCCGAGAGACTTAATTTTGTACGTTCCAGACCTTGGCGAGGGACCGCTAATCCGTTATTTCGTAATCCGAATTGCAAGTAGGTTATTCTTTATATCACCAATTGTCTTTTTTTCTGAGAAAATTTAGGAAAATGTTGGTTCCTGATCTCATGTTGACATAATCTCATCATCTATTGACGTATCTCCTGCCTAAATCCAGAAGGGAAGCCGACAGGAAGGAATTATCCAATAACTCCTACACAGAAGTTGGAGTGGACCAAGGTTCTGTCGGGGGACAGACGGTCTTACTTGATGCACACCAGTCATCATGACTGGTAGCAAGGGATGGGGTAGATGATGAGATGTTTGCAACAAACTTGTAAAGAAAAAATGCATAAGAAAGGCACAAGATTTATCGCCCGGTAATAATATATAATACCGCTTATTCAGCTTACACACCTCTGTAACTATCGTGTCCATTGTTTTATCAAAATGGCGGGCGCATGTCGTGTTCCAATCGCAATTCTTGTAGCTGCCATTTTCAAAACTGACTGATGATGAGTTTGAAGACTCGTCACGTGATTCACACCACCAACCAGGATTGACTCCAGCAAACGCCATCATCATCATCGACGATGCCATCACTACTTTGGTGAATCCAATCAATGGAATGATACATAGTTGATACCTCCCAAATCCTCCAAGGTCGTCGATCAAGGATTCAAGATGCATCTTCACCTACAATTATAAAAAATATGTTTGCTATCTTGGCGTTTGAGTGCCAAAGGAAACTACCAATGCTTTTAACTGAATGTGTCATCTGGGTGTGAAACAGCTGCTGACCATGTTTCTATCAATGTGTATTAGTTGGAAGCTACACATGTATTGACTCATCGAGTATTTTCTAAATTCATAGTTCCCTACTGATCCTGGAATGAAATGGTGGAAATTATTTGATATCGTCTTTGGATATTTATCACTTATTGGCGCATCTTCCCGAGGCAGGCGTCTTAACTTGTCCATATCAAAGTGTTGTTTTCACCCTTGCCATGTCAAGCTAACTTTTCTTGGCTCAACCGTGGCGCCACCCCATGTAGAACACGAGTTGTGTCCCTTGTGACGAAAAGGCGATATTTAATCAGATCACTGTCCTTATTTGGTATGGATTCACAGAGATTACTACCATAGCAGACCTGGTCGATCAGATGACGACATGATGTGAGATTCCATCCCTGACAAGCGAAGAAAATGGCAGAGTACCACAGTAAATATACTTATGACTTTCTTCACTCAAAAAGGCATAGACACTACAGTATCAAGGACACTGCAACGCTCAGAGCAGGTCGTCTAAAATAGCACCGTATGTCAGCCACTGCGATAAGGGTTCGAGTTAAAAAACAACACTTGCTGTTCAATATATAAAAGTAATAAGGAGAGTTGATCGAAAAGGTTGAACCTCTTCTAAAATATGTGTCTATGTTTAATGTTTGGAATAATTTCAGCGCAAATGCGACAGGCGATGGCTGTGACCGAAGCAGCGACCATGCTTTAGGAACACGGATGTTGATATTGTAAAACGTTCTCTGATTGGACTATCCATATGTGCGATTGTCCACTCATATTTTAGCACAGGAAGTATGCTTGAAATGGCAAGGGTGAAAAAAGACTTTGACGTAGGCTGTGGACACTCTTCCCTCGGGAAAATGTTACTGACCCTTTACCCTAATTATGTTTCAAGGTAAGTCAGCACCATACCATTGTATTTGGTCAATAATGTTTTATTACATAATTTTTTTTTAAAAATCGAGTAAATAACAGCGGCACGAGCAGCCATATTGTTTTCCTTGGATATGCTGCTTCGCAGCAACTATTGCGTTCCACTCTCGCTGATTGGCTGAAAATATGTCGCTCCTTTAAGTCGATTGGCTGAACCATCACTTTTGATGGCGGCCCAGCAAGGTTGGTCCCAGGTCAACACCATGTTTTAAAAAAGGTCATGTGACCCTTTCTCAACCAATGAAAATACAGATACAATTTGTAAACGTAATAACAACATCAAATTAAACTGCCGGGCAAAAGAAAGTACACACGCATGTTTGGTGGTTGCTAAACATGAAACAAACAAGAAACGGTTGTTCGATGGTGATGTATTTGATGCGGGTATCAGAGATGTGTTTTGGCGACTGTTTTCTACCAAGTAACATTTTTATAACGTTTGTCATTTTTTGTCTTCCAAACGTGTATACTTTGCACTGTGCTACTATCCCGAAGATGAATAAAATAATATACAAAGAAGTGATGCAGAGCATGTAAATGCACCAAATATAAAATAATAACAAATATTAAGTTAAGACATCGCATCATTGGCATACAGCGATACAGCCTACATGTATATTCGCACTGTCAAAATTTATGTTGCTGTGAGGTAAATATGTCTCCCACTTTATATGGCGAAACGTCTCAAAAAGTGTTGCAATTGAAAACGTCTTTAAAATATACTTTACATTAACAATGGTTCAAACTCTGACGAAGTCAACAATGCACGTATTTCCAGCCATTCTCCATTATCAACACCATGGATCCTTCAGGCAGCCAGAGAATAATATAGTTTTCATCACATAGGATTCACGGGTTTGCCCAGGCGTCTAAGGCGCTGCAATGCGCTGTGCAGAGTTGCGTCCATTGGGCCAGAAACCTATGATTGTGGGTACAAATCCCGGTTCGCCCCGATTATGTTTCTAGGTTTGTCAGCACCATACCTGTGCTCGTGGGTTTCACCGAAGAGGTAAACGTCTGAGACCTGCATCAAATCAGGCTTTCCTCCCTCATTAAACTGACACGCCGTGATAAAACTGGAATACTGTTAAAAGCGGCGTTAAACCCAACTCACTCACTCAAACGAATCACGAACTGTAATCTCATAAAATATATTGTCTTCTTTTGAAGTTTTACAAAACAAACCTACAATACCAGACCAATTTACGCAGTAAACGATGGTTGTAATGCATTAATTTAAATTCCAATCACTATCAAGTTATGTGTAGGTTACCTTTCAACAGCGTCGATGTTGGGATATCAAACCGTTGAAACAAGGGTCTGTCTGTAAGACACTGGTCCGCTGTAATGCTGTGTGCCAGAGTAAGACACGATGGCCGTGCTGTGTTTATATCAAGGTAATTTTGCACGGGTTTGACGTCATTGTGTTATTCAATGTCACAACCAGGGCTGTAATAATGATTAAATCTGTGACGCAATAAACTGACAATGGTAGAAACTTGTAATTCCTTGCCTGAATAATGCTTTCGAATCAGAGGTATTACCAAACCACTAAAAGGGATGGTATTGTATCGAGAAAAACAAATTGTCCCAGAGAATGATTGAAAAAGATTATGCTTCAGACTTCTTTTTAAAAAAAGGGTCTGCCACAAAATATACATTGTTGCAAAATGGGTTTTTTCATTCTTATTTTGGCTAATAGTTCTAATTTTTTTTTAAATATCTAGTCTCCATATAAAATACCAGACCCCTAGGATTTCAAATGCTCTGTCCCTAAATAGTGCCCATCAGAAAACCGTATATTAGTAATTGTGTAATGTTGACAAACATTCTTCAAAAGTCGATTGCTCGCGAAAGAATGATAAGAGCCCAAAATGAATAGCTTGTAAAGTGATTTCATGTGCCCAATATGAATTGCTTGTAAAGTGATTTCATGTGCCCAATATGAGTTGCTTGTAAAGTGATTCCATGTGCCCAATATGAATGGCTTGTAAAGTGATTTCATGTGCCCAATATGAATGGCTTGTGAAGTGATTTCATGTGCCCAATATGAATGCTTGTGAAGTGATTTCATGTGCCCAATATGAATTGCTTGTAAAGTGGTTTCATGTGCCAAATATGAATGGCTTGTGAAGTGATTTCATGTGGCCAGTATGAATCGCTTGTAAAGTGGTAACATGTTTTCAGTGGATTGTGACAACCTCGTTGATACTTTCCTAGTTTGCGGTCGAATAATACTGGATTTTCTGTGTAGCCAGGTTCAATGAACTGCATACTACATGTGCGTTTCTTCTTTTGAAGAGTGTTTGTGCATCAACATAGAGAACAACAAAACTCTATAACCATCTGATTACTTTCTTTAATACGTTTTTTTAGTTCTATTTTTAATTTGAAAAGGTCACCAGAAATGCTGACTTGCTGGCTGAAATCATTTGCTGAAAACACAATGATTTGACAATAAAGTGTTTCAAATAAATAGTCAAGATAGTAACGTTATCATTCATTACAGTCCAAATATATATATACATACTCTTCAAAAAAAGAAACTTGACATAGATGTAAAACAACTTTTTGCCAAATATCTAAAATAATTACATTAAATGAGAACCAAATAAGTCAAACAGAAAGATGATGTGTCTATAATTCGCGAAAACACATGCAAAGCACATAAACGTAGCGTTTGGGGATCAATTTTACAGCTTCATCCAAACGCAACCGCCTGTAAAAAACGTGAAGCACAGGATCCTGCACTTAGGCATGCAGGCCCCCCTGCTGAATGGGTATAAAAATCAACAACGGCTGTTCATGAATACAGTCTTTATAACGGCAGCAGAGGCGGTGACAGAATGCCAAGACTGAATGCAGCTCGACGGAACAACGCCATTCGGAGATTTTAAGCTGGAGCAACTCAGCAAGAAGTGGCCAGGCACTTTGGCGTATCCAGACAGACAATCTCCGCACTGTGGACCCGATACAACAACACCAACAGAGTTGACGACAGACCAAGGTCAGGAAGACCAAGGGTGACAACCCAAGCACAAGATCGATACATCCGGCTGCGACACCTCCGAGACCGCACTACCACAGCCACGTCTACAACCACACCGATCCCTGGGGTACGCAGAATATCAGATCAAACGGTACGCAACAGACTGAGGGAGGCTGGACTTTTTGCACGAAGACATGTTCGACGTCATGTATTGACCCCACGTCATCTGGCGGACCGTCTGCTTTGGTGCCAACAGAGGGATAGATGGGCACGTGCAAGGTGGGGAAATGTACTGTTTACTGACGAGTCCCGTTTCCTACTCACACGTGCTGATGGGCGCGCACGTGTCTACAGACGTCGGGGTGAACGTTACGCCCCCAACTGTGTGCAGCAGGTTGTCCCATTTGGCGGCGGGAGTGTCATGGTATGGGCCGGAATTCATCACGGTGGTAGGACGCCTCTTGTGCATGTGGCAGGTGCATTGACAGGTGTGCGTTACAGAGACTTGATCCTACAGCCTTACGTTCTTCCTCACGTCAACGTTCATGGCGGACAGTTCCAGCAGGACAACGCTCGACCGCATATTGCACGTGTTTGTCAGGACTTCTTACAGCACAACAACATCCAGACATTACCTTTGCCAGCCCGGTCACCAGATTTGTCCCCGATTGAGCATCTGTGGGACGAGTTGGATCGACGCGTTCGCAGAAGGAATCCACCGCCTCAAACACTTCCGGCGCTTCTTGATGCACTTCAGCACGAATGGCAGCACATCCAACAGCATGTTACTGACAACTTGATTGCATCTATGGGTCGTCGGTGTCAAGCGGTGATTGATGCACGTGGTGGGCACAACCGATACTGACATTTTCTGTACCCCTGTGACATTAACTGTATCGTGTACGTGTGTCTGTCTAGGTGACACGATTAATGTTTTGAACATTGAGTACATTGAACTTCAAACAGTGTTTCAATTATGGTTTCTGTGTCCTATTTTGAAACAATCGCATTATATTACATTTTGAAAGTCAGTGTCAAGTTTCTTTTTTTGAAGAGTATATATAGAGAGAGAGGATCCCACCTCCGAGATCAAATATATCAAGACGACTTGATAAAAGTTACAAATATCCGAGGCTTGCCGATGTTATTTTTACTTTCTAAAACGAGTCTTGATATATTTTTAGTTTGGAAGAATCGCGATTCAATCATCCAAAATCATTATTCCAGACTGTTTTTAGTTTGTAAATGTTTTTCACCAAGACCTTCCATTGAAACTGTCGTTATATCTGTCGTGAAATGCTGCCTATAGTAAGACCAGGTATTTTAACACACAGGTTTAAAATATTATTTTGTAATTCACTTAACCTGATTCTTTCAAACTGACAGCTATTTTTCAGATATCTGGTTTAAGCGCACAACTGTTCTCTGGAAGAGGCGATATCGAAGACATGGGATTGGTAGCATGCGATGCCACGGAGCCCTTGAGTAACAAGACACAACTCAGAGCACCTTCATTAAAACATGAAAAGATTTGCAAAATATCTGTCGATGCTTCTTAATCTTGCAGTCGACCGAAATCTGCAGGTTGAAATCCATGTTGTTTACGAACCGGATGTTAGTTTGTTACGCGATTTTGATTGGACTATGTAGACTCGTTAGTCCAGCCACAATGTAGCTCCGGAATTCCAGCCTAGTTTGGCAAGTGTGAAAACTGGACTTTAATAGTCAGTTCACCCCCTTGCCCCGGGAAGATATATCCCCGGACCCTGTAACACGATGCGATCGTAGCGCTAAGACGATCGTAACTCTCACACTTTAACATAGACTTTGTGCCCAGAATAACACTTCTTTAAGTCCCCGGTTGTAAACCTTGACGTCTGGCATTAGTCCTATGTGCCAGTGAGTGTTACCTTTACAGGATACATGTGACCGAATCATCCAGAACCAAGATAGGATTGTCTTCAGTGACAAGCTTCAGTGAGATGAGCGAAATTACTTTGATTATATTTTGATAAAGCAGTTCCACCTCCTGGGGTATTCATTAAGGTATAAATAAGTAAGGACCTGCAATGGTTTTGTTTGTACATCTTTATTTCTTTTCAGAAAAATAGCAAAGTGACGAACCAGAATTTGATCCTTAGATGCCACTCCTATTTATTTCTTTGTCAAAACCATGGATCAAAGTCTGAACTGTTACTTTCACAGGGCCTAGCTGGCTTGTTCTGGTTTGATGAAGGTGGTACTCCTTGGTTCCTCCTCTTCATCCTTCTCTGGTACATTGTTATCAACCATTTCCACGATTATTTTCACCTTTGACTGGCAAATACCTCCTCTTTCGTCATCATCGCCACAAGGTATGGTATCAGCACCATCCTCTTCCATTTCAGGACTGTCGCCCTTCGCACCAACACTACCGTTCACTGTCAGAGTATTAGCTTTTGGAAGAAGAGTTTCTTTAACCTCTTCGGTCGAGACTTCTATCGTATATTTCTTCATTGTGTCCTCTAATGCCATTTTGCTCGTCTCCTCAAGAGAGAAGCATGACAGTGCTGTAAGAGTCATCAATATTCCCATGGCGACGAACGGTGGCATCAGATCGTTCTTGGGACCCTGGTAGGGGAATAAGGGGACGCTAATCAGGGTTATAGGTTTTACACTGTTTATATCCATATTCCTGTCATGTCAGGCAGGGGCAAACCTAGAATGGTATCCACATACAGTATAATGTAGAGAATATAACCACACTGAATGCTTTAAACAAGAGGATTCCCAATCACCCGATAGCAATTTGGGCCGGACACCCTGTATTCTCGACGTCAACTTTGAGGGGCATGGTTTTACACCGCTTTTAGAAAAACTACAGCAATATCATGCCGGTGGACATCAGAAATGTGCTTTCTGGTCCATGTGGGGAATCGAACCCGTGTCTTCTGCGTGGAGGACGAACGCTTTAAACACTAGGCTAACCCACTTCTCCAAACAAGGAGGAACGTTTGGCTCGATGTCAGTATGATGTCACATGTTAAACTGCGGCAACTCTATGGACGCATTGTATGGGACGCAATGTGCTCTTCAAAATAGGCAAAGTTGTTCCATTTATATAGATATGTATTTAATATGAAATTCACTTAATGCAAGATACGACCGCCTCCGTGGTCTAGTGGATAGAGCGTCTGTCCGGAGAACGGAGGAAGTTCGGGGTTTAGATCCCAAGCCGCGACAAACCCAAAGACGTTAAGAGATGGTACTTGTTGTCACACACACACACACACACACACACACACACACACACACACACACACACACACACACAATGTGTCAGCATGTGTAGACCCGTGACAAGGGTTTACGAGTATGTCAAGGATACAACCCAGTCTCCTTTGCACAGGAATTCGATGATGATGTGTATAACATAATAACAATATAACATAATATATTCGTAAAGAAAAGAATCACACCCCTCTATAGACATATAGACTATTTATAGAGGGGTGTGATTTTTTTCTTTAAGAATATATTATGTTATACACGCTATCATCGAGTTCCTGTGATCCTTTGCTGTTGACAAAGTGGTCAGATATAAAGATATGTATTCCTTTACCAGAGAAAATATCTGAGCTGCGAAAATCCCTCCAATTCTTGCAACTATGTTTTGAGCAGCAACTGCCAAGTTTCTGAAACAGGTGAGATAGTTGCATAAAATACAGTTGATTTACAATATATATATATATATATATATAATAAATCGTAACACAATAACAAATGTTGTTCGCCATCTTGGAATACTTTCGTGAATGAACTGGCACAACGATGTCTAAGCGTTAATTTTTTTTAATGTAATTGAAAGTTGGAAGAACTGTTGTATAATTTGAGTATGTCAATTTAACCATTACTCATCCCCACAACGGTTTGTAAAAAGTTATCTGTGCTAAGTTTGTAGTTTTTAGTTTTTAGGGAAAGAATTTGCAACCTAGTGACCTCTACCATGTTTGAAATGTAAATTTGTGCCGGAAAAAGATAAGTATCTAAAGTACACATCAGTGTATTATGCGGTTGGTGTTTTTAAAAGTATTTATCATTTCTAAAAAAAAAACAGAAGTATTCTTTGAGTGCTTTAAACACGAGTTCTAGTTCATTGTTTTAAATGCAATATCACAAACTTAAAATAGTTTCAACTGAAAGTTAAACATATCATAACTTCAACTGAGAGGAAACGGAAAGCATAAACTCACTCACTCACTCAACTGAGAGGTAACGTAAAGCATAAACTCACTCACTCAACTGAGAGCTAACGTAAAGCATAAACTCACTCACTCACTCAACTGAGAGCTAACGTAAAGCATAAACTCACTCACTCAACTGAGAGGTATAGTTTCTTTTTCTCCTCAGTTGTTATACAAACATGATTAAGTTGAGTCAAGTAAAAGCAGTACCAATCACTCATCACATGCAACTGCAATAAGGATAAAATGTAGGGCACACTGAAAGAGACAGCCTACGATAAGGATAAAATGTAGGGCACACTGAAAGAGACAGCCTACGATAAGGATAAAATGTAGGGCACACTGAAAGAGACAGCCTACGATAAGGATAAAATGTAGGGCACACTGAAAGAGACAGCCTACGATAAGGATAAAATGTAGGGCACATTGAAAGAGACAGCCTACGATAAGGATAAAATGTAGGGCACACTGAAAGAGACAGCCTACGATAAGGATAAAATGTAGGGCACATTGAAAGAGACAGCCTACGATAAGGATAAAATGTAGGGCACACTGAAAGAGACAGCCTACGATAAGGATAAAATGTAGGGCACATTGAAAGAGACAGCCTACGATAAGGATAAAATGTAGGGCACACTGAAAGAGACAGCCTACGATAAGGATAAAATGTAGGGCACACTGAAAGAGACAGCCTACGATAAGGATAAAATGTAGGGCACATTGAAAGAGACAGCCTACGATAAGGATAAAATGTAGGGCACACTGAAAGAGACAGCCTACGATAAGGATAAAATGTAGGGCACATTGAAAGAGACAGCCTACGATAAGGATAACATGTAGGGCACACTGAATGAGACAGCCTACGATAAGGATAAAATGTAGGGCACACTGAATGAGACGGCCTACGATAAGGATAAAATGTAGGGCACATTGAAAGAGACAGCCTACGATAAGGATAAAATGTAGGGCACACTGAAAGAGACAGCCTACGATAAGGATAAAATGTAGGGCACACTGAAAGAGACAGCCTACGATAAGGATAAAATGTAGGGCACATTGAAAGAGACAGCCTACGATAAGGATAAAATGTAGGGCACACTGAAAGAGACAGCCTACGATAAGGATAAAATGTAGGGCACACTGAAAGAGACAGCCTACGATAAGGATAAAATGTAGGGCACACTGAATGAGACGGCCTACGATAAGGATAAAATGTAGGGCACATTGAAAGAGACAGCCTACGATAAGGATAAAATGTAGGGCACATTGAAAGAGACCGCCTACGTGGTCTAGTGGTAGAGCGTCTGTCCGGAGAGCGGAAGGTCCGGGGTTCGATCCCCGGCCGCGTCATACCAAAAGACGTCAAAAGATTGTACTTGTTGTAACCCTGACTTGCGCTCGGCATAAAGGGGGTAAAACAAAGCTAGGCTCGTAGTCAGTATACTGTGCCTGAGTTGGGTATTCATGTTACACTACCGCATGGTATCTCAGTGGGCTAGCACTATAAATCGGCATAAGTCCGGACTAGTATAAGCACACACACACACACACACACACACACACACACACACACACACACACACACACATGTCGCTATATAACTGCAATAATTTTAAACGCGACGTTAAACCCCATTTCACCTCACCTCACATTGAAAGACACTGGCTTAACGTTATATTTATCTACGTGTCTATTCATATTACTCTATTTCAAAGATGACAGAACCGTACAGCTACATCTAGAGCACGAGTGGCCATGCAGATGTATGCGCACATTTCGCAGTTTAGAGTTGCGTCCCCTAACCGTGACAGGATCCGCTGGTCTTTTGGTTTGAATACCGAACTCTACTTCGATTTTTGGTACGTTGTTAATCACTTCTCACTCCAACACTCCATGTTCATAGCGTGGCAATTTGAATCACCTGACCACAGTAGGGAACTGTTCACTAGACAGCGCCAGGACCAATAACCATGCGCTGATGCTGAATAATTTGGCGGAGATTGCAAATCCATTTTCTAGCGGCACTTTGATGTCCTCGGGAGCTGTAATAATATACAGTGTGTGTAAACAGCGAATTATATCATTCAGATACAGAAACTAATAACACTATTGCCATTAATCAAGGGCAGGCGCGGTAGCCTCGTCACGCCAAAGACCCGGGTTCGATTCCCCACATAGGTACATATATGAAGTCCATTTCTGGTGTCCCCCGTGGTGATTTTGCTGGAATATCGCTAAAAGCGTCGGAAAACCATACTCACTCACTCACTATGACATATCAATGCACATCATTATACATTTTCCCCCAATTTTGCTTTCATTTAACGTCACAATTAAAGTGCTGCTAGGGTCAGTTTTCCTACAATATTCTACTGATAGTTCCCCACAAACTCTACTTTACAAAACAAACTGTCAATGATACTATATGTTACTAAACAGAGTCGAAACAAAGATGCATACTCACCAAGCTTTGTGACCATGGCAACACCAAAACACGTAACAGCTGACAGCACGAACAGTAAGGCGCACGCCCAACGCCGGCTGAACCTGTGTGTTGATAACAAGACTCGAGTTCCAACAGTAAAACTAGTCAACAGGTGCATGCAAGGAGGTGATGGACTCGAGTCAGATGGCTTTGATTGTTTGTTGTTAAACGCCGCACTCAGCTACATGACGCCGGTCTGTAAATAATCGAGTCTAGACCAAACAGTCCAGAGATTGATATCATGAGCACCGATCCACTCAATGTGGGATACGATGACATTCCCGTTAGTCGCCTCTTACGACAAGCTCAGTAGCCTTTTTACGGCAAGCATGGGTTGCTGAAGACCTGTTCTACCCCGGATCTTCACGGGTCCGAGTCAGTTGGCATGCCAGTTTGTCTCTTTCGGAGGCTAATTGGAGTTTTGATATCCATATCAGTCTAACCGGTTTAATACCCTTAACACGTTTTGATTAAGCATATTTTATTGGAATAATATAAGTCAAATGGATTGAGTAAAAGCCCATCTTACGACACCCTTTCCATAAACTAATATACTTGGACAATAATACAAATATTGAACTCTGGAATATTTTAGGTGCATATCTAGACAGGGCAATACTTATAGCACGTATGACGTCACATATGACACACGTCACACAGACTTAAACTAGACAGGGAATTGGCCCCAGCCCCAGGAACATACGCCTTAACATTCTATGTGAGTGGACCGTCTCCGTGATCTAGTGGAACGGGAGCCTGTCCGGAGAGCGTAGGTCGATCCCTGACCGCGTCACACCAAAATACGTTAAAATATGGTAATTGTTGTTACCCTGCCTGCCGCTTGACATTCAGGGACTGGTCGGCTCGGAGTCAGTATACTGTGTCTGAGTGTTACATGTTAAACTGCGGCATGGTGTCTCAATGGACTTACACTGAGACCATGAAGAGCTGCACAAGTGCCATCGGTAGCTCCAGCAGCCCCATGATCATCAGATTGAGGTAGAAGTCGCCTGACAGGTTCCTTACACCGAACGATATAGCATAGTACACGACGGACAGGGAGAACCTGAAACAGCAGACATTGTGCAGCTGAAAGTAGGCTTTGTTGAGGCTGATGGCGACACTGGTCATAATTATTGCTGGTGGAATTGCTAAAATCTTTGCTGGTGATAATGTCGATGAAATTATACTGCAACAGGTGGTGATGATGATGATGATGATGATGATGATGATGATGATGATTACAATGATAACAAAATGACAACACTTCTTAAAAGTGAGATGACAAAATTTTCTAGCAAGCAGATATCTGTTTAAGTAATACAAATTGTACCAAATATTTACCAAATAAAGAGTGTTATCACAGTTCTCCACCTCAGTGCCCTGGTTCTGACCAGATCTATATAAGTGTAGGATTTAGCTTTGTCCCCCTCCGCCTTCTCCTCCTGAGCTATCAGCTCCAGGATGGACGTGTCCGGAACTGGCCTTTTGTTGTACCTCGCAATCCTGTTGGCCACGCGCCTCGCCTCCTCAAGATGTCCCTTCACAGCTAACCAGCGGAGTGACTCTGGCATCACACTAAGTTCAACATCCATGTAAATATAGGCCTTGTTCCGCATAATGGATACTTACACCCATGCTCGTACAAACAAGTGCAGTCCCGCACTCTTATAAACATAACGTGACGAGATCTAGCATCTTTAAAACAGCTAAAACGAGACAGTGATCAAGGTTCCAAATTCAGGAATCGTTTTTACAATTTCTGTTGATACTTTTCATAGATATGTTAATGTTGGACAAGAATGTGAGTGAATCATGTTTAACATTCAAAGACAAATATTTGTTATTTTTTTAAAGTCCTCTTTGTTCCGTACAACGGGAGATATTCTTAAAGATGGTTCTTTATCTGATACAAATGGAATAAGTGTATTGAGGTGAATGAAGATTATTGAAAAATAAAAGTGCAAAAGATATTCTGCTACTTGGTCTTATATTTAAGTTACTGAACGGCCCTCGTAGTTGAAATGAGTGTTCATAGCGTAATCCACAAGACTGGACTCAAATGATTGTGTATTTATAGCTTGACGGTAATTCACTTACAACCAAGTTAACAGCAAGGGTATGCTGAATGCCGCGATAGTGAGATGCAACCACTTCCAGTTCCGGGTGGTCCAAGTAAATGTAGCGAATAGCACCATTCCGAGGGACCACGAGGGAATCGCTGCGCACACTCCTCGCCATTTCTTTCCAACAAATTCCATTTGGTACAAAAAGGAACAAGACAAGGTCATTCCTACCGACGTGCCTATGATGACTCGGATCACAGCGAACATGACCCACGACACAGAGAACGCAGCGATGATGTTGCTGATGGTGCTCAAAACCAGTCCACCATACACCACCTTCTTCCGGCCGTATCTGTCTGCGCAGTAGCCTGCAATGACGCTGCCGAGAAGGACACCCGCCATTTGTATGGAGATGATAGTGTTACTGATCCACCTCTTGCTACACACGAGGCTCCACTGAAATGACCGGAAGTTGCAAAAACAGGCAAAAAATAACATCTATTGAACCTATATGGGCGTTTCCTGTTATTAGATTACTATATCGAAATAGGGTAGCACGATTCATCTTCGAATAATGAAGGTAAAAGAATCATTCTATGGCCAATAAAAATTACTCTCGATTAAAATTACCGTAAAATCTTCATTTCAGTTTAGCTTAGAATTGGTCTTTTCTTTACCCACCAAAGACTTTGTCTCTTAACAGAACAGAACAGAACAGAACAGAAGTTTATTGCTTGACAAAACCCTCCAATCCAGATACTATACTACTTTTTTTCAATATTATTTAAGTGAGAGACTGAATTATCCTTCAAGCCTTTGAAATGTATCTAAGTTATACCACTGCAGGCCAGCTTAATGTGGGGGGATTCCTCCGTTGACGCGGGTCTCGGACGTTAATCTGGTTGACTGATGCTAACAAACCAAGTCTCGTTTTTTTAACTGACGAGGTCAAGGTCACTCATGCCTCCAGTTCTATTGGACGCACTATGATAACCTTAAGCCATGCAAGATTTCGACATATCGAACCAGGCTGACAGTGAGACTTACCTCAGATACAATGGTTACCGTTTCTGACTCAAATATTCTCTGACACGTCCCATTCCACTGACAGTTTTGGTAACTGCCATTTGTAAAGATGGCGACGTCATCCTGATCACGTGACTCACACCACCAATCGGGCTCAAGCCCTGCGAAGGCCATGGTCATCATGGGTGCGACGGTGAGGCCTTTGCACACTGCGAGCACACAGACGATGCATCTCTGATAGCGACCAAAACTGCCAATGTCTTCGATGAGACTCTCGAGATGCATCGTACGATACGGAGAATACGGTTCTTCTTAGGATGACCTTGAAATAAATATATGTTGTTTATTGATTTTTTGTTGCTGAGACAACGCTCACCTTTCCGCGAACACCTGGTATCATCACTATTTCAAAGTGATTCATAAACACATGCTCATGATATAGTCGGAGTCGTACAATATCTCTTCTTTTAGCAGATATTTATTATGAATATGGAAAGGGTTTTGTCGCTTTTATTGTCCTGCACTATGACTGATAAATTATATAAGACCGCTTCACCCGTATCTGTCTACTTGAGGAGTTCCAGGCGCACTAATTATGTCATGTTATAAATTTTAATATGTGTTTAATAGTCAGAGGAAGCTTATGTAAAATTGCACAACTATGCCTTATAGAATGGTCGGTATATGCTTACGTTGTAGATTTATCAAGCCCTTCAAACTTACAGTCCGTCAACCATCATTTAGCACCTGGTTTCTTCACAATTATTTACCATTAAACACACAATCACGCGATGAAAGTCAGTTATTTAAGGATTTACTGTGTAGCGGATTCTTACAAAAGTTTGCACATCGGCTTTTCGATTCATACCTCAATGAACCGAAAAAAATATACAGTCAATGCTTATAATTAAATTCGACAACGTAAAACATGTTATATCTACAATAGTTTAACCCAAAACAGTTGCATATATCAAAACAGACAAAAATGACGACATTGATAAACATTCCAGGTGTAGGAATACATACAGTGGCGTGACATGAATTAGGTGATCGTTTAATTTATGCACATAACTTGACACGCCTACACAGTCAGTAGCCAATCAACGGAGAGTGGGATTAAAACAATGTTCATTTGACCTGTCAATTAAGGCAAGAGGCGAAAAGAACTGCAACAGTCAGACTGTAACGAACCGGAAGAAATATGTCCGAGAGAAGGCGGCAGTTTCAAATAACATGGTCATTACTGCGTGATTCAAACATTACTTCCCTGATTACGGTAAATCACAGTTGGAGAAATGCTAGTTATAAATGAAACCCGAAGACATGAACGTTGAACCGGGGCGAGCGGGAAAAAAACAGGCGAGCGAGCCTGCACGTTTGCTGTTTCATTCATTCTCGGCCTTCGGTTTCAAAGGATAGTTTGGACAATGAATATGCATGAAAGTCGCTAAATGTCCTGTGCATTACGATACACGTGAGCAGAAAGGGAATTCCCTCGACTGTAATATTGGGATTCCCCGACATTCCGAAGTAATAAAAGTAGTGCGCCGCGGTGGGCGTGGCTTAATTTTTTACATTCATTGGGAAATGAATGCAATAACACGTGACCAATTCAGCTAATCAGAATGCAGGAATTTCCATGAACACAACGAAAATTTAATTATTGTCGAATAATGATTATTGACCTTAAATTGAACTAGAATTGACAGTTTTGTAATATTTCATGTCCGATTAAAACTAGTTTCTTTATTGTTATCATGTATTTTTGTGACCGTCGACATGACCCTGTAGTGGGGTGTAAGTACAGGCGATGTATGGCTGCTGTATTTTGTTAACGCTTGCTGCATGTATGACCTTGGGTCGCCCTTCACCTCGGGGTGTACCTGTAGTAGCATTAGAAGGCGAAAAATCTTGTGTAAGGTGGAGATTTGTTGTCAAAGTAAGCCCGTGATGTTATTCATAAGGTGAGATTTCATTTAACGCGAATCTAATAGAGAACATGGTATGCAACTGACACATCGAGAAGGACTTTAATCCGAATTATCTCCCCTTATAAAAGTGTAAATCATGGCGATGACGTACCAATGAGGGCCATCCCATACACAAGAAGCAAAAGCTAGACAGTTTTGTTTGTTTGTCTTGCGCCGCACTCAGCAATTTCCGAGGTATATGCCGGCGGTCTGTAAATAATCGAGTCGGGACAAGACAATCCAGTGACTGACATCATGAGCATCGATCTAAGCAATTGGAATGCGGCATCGTGCATCAAGTCAGCGAGCCTGATCCCCGATCCCGTTAGTCGCCTCTTACGACAAGCATAGTCACCGTTTACGACAAGCATGGGTTGCTGAAGACCTATACTACCCCGGGTCTTCACGGGGACACAAGCATGGGTTGCTGAAGACCTATTCTACCCCGGATCTTCACGGGGAGACAAGCATGGCTTGCTGAAGACCCATTCTACCCCGGATCTTCAAGGGGAGACAAGCATGGGTTGCTGAAGACTTATTCTACCCCGGATCTTCACGGGTCTAGACAGTTTTAGACATCTGGGCATTGAGAGGTGTCATTCGTAGATTTCACAGTAAAAATAAACATATTTCTTCCAGAAAGCTAAAGAAAATCCGGAACGAAGAGTATGACAGTGTGTCCAGGCATAATTATGTTTTCATATACTAAGATATTACAAGTCATGTGTCATTTCATAATTCATGTTAATCTATTTACTTGTCGTTGAGACATTCCCTCATCCTCGGGCTGGATATCATGAGATGACCTAGGGTCATGCATGCAGCGAGCATGTTTGACACGCATTATGCCATTGTTGTGAGACGTTTAATCAATGAAAATATTCTTATCCGGACACGAAATATTACAAAACTGGTCATTCTAATTTGCTCATAGATTATTATTCGATAACAACCGACTTTCATCGCGTGATTGAGTGTTTAATGAAAATTGTAATGAAAAACCGGGAGCCAAAGTGACGATTGAGGGACAATAGCTGATTTCGCACCACGAGTATAAACTCAACACCGCTGGAAGCGCTCATAAAATCTCAACATACGCAGGAACATGAAAGAAGAAATAGGGTTTCTAAAAAATGTGATACATTAATACATTATTACTTGTTTGACATGTATATATTGAAATGATATTGTTCTGACTATATGTGTATCAAACGCTCCAAATAGTCATAACATATAGCCTTTAAAGAAGTTCAAAGTACAAACGTTTCGTGTTCAAATGTATCTCTTAACTAACACAAATCCTCGAACACATCACAATGAACCGCTGGATGAGCTCGTTGGAGCTTGTGGGGGTACTAACTAGGTACATACTGTGTTGGGGGTGTTCTCTGCTCTGTGTTGGGGGTGTTCTCTGCTCTGAGGTGAAGGTGTTCTCTGCTCTGTGTTGTGAACTCAGCAAGTTGACTCCACTCCATCCACGCTTTGTGTTGAAACAACAACGGTTTAACCGAGATCCCAATTGGAGTTTTCTTAAAGGGACAGTCCCGGGAAGCCTGGGATAACATGGCCCACACCGAACTGAACGCAAACCACTAGCGAACACATGGACATCGAAATCTTTACGCGGCTCCAAATTACTCAAATACGGAACATAGATTTCAGAAAGGTTTTTTTCTTTTACGACCAATCTGTTAATTAGCTCATTGGATTAATGAAAGAAAATACCAATAGAATAGACTGGAAGGTCCATATGGGAAGCAAAATAAATCTCCTTTGTTTATTTCTCTCGGTTGATAATCATTTTCAGAAACCCCTTTTTAAACCTTTTAAATAATTGATCTATAGTTTCTATTTTAATAACAGGCCCTGCGCTAAAAAAAAGAACCCGTAAATCCAAGTGATTGAGAAAAGGTAACTTTGTACTCCCTGTGTTTTACATATTATGCTTTACACATGGATTTGATAAAATAATACTCAACTTATTTACGAAGCTTAAAAACTACGGCGAACGACTTTAAAGTTGCTTCCATCTTTAATTACATCGGTGATGTCCAGTCACGTGGCATCGTGCAGGTTGTCAGGTTTGTATGATTCGTCACAGAGCAGCGACTCCTGCCTGCCCATGGTCATGCTACGTATTCAGTGACGATTCTGGTGTTGATATCAGAGGCCCACAAACAGTTCGATAAAACGCCTTTTCCTTCGCGTTTTTTGAATGGTAGAGGGAAACAATAATAACAATAATAATGTTTTCGGCTTTAAAGATATCAATCTAATCTTGATGTTAAAATTGGAAGACGATGAAATAATTAAGAACTACATCGTTATAAAAAGATATTTGTGACGGGTTGGAATAGGAACCAGCATGGTATTATTGTGGCACTGAAGCTCACCTTACTTGATTGTGTAAGCCAACAATTATGTGCAAACAAACGAGTTTCATTATTGGTCAGCAGTCCATCTATTTATAGTGATGATAAATACTTGTTTAAGATCATGAGGCAAAATGTACTTCTGCGTGTAAGAGGGCGTTTAATCGGCGAGCTTTCTGTGATACTATGTGTATAAACGGTTAATCTGCCTTGTCAAACATAATAGGCAGGTAAGAATTAACTTAACACTACATTACTTGTCTTAAAGCTGTAAATATTAAACGCCTATCATTTCACGTCTAGATGACTAGACGGTTGGGCGGTTATCTTTGGTGTTTTAAGACATAGAAACTAGACCGTTGTAGAAAGACAAATTATCGACCTGGAAGGGGTTTATTTCTACAAAAATATATATATATATACAGTAAACTACGTTTATAACGAGCACGTTTATAACAAACTGACGGATATAACGAAATGTGTTTTGATCCCGTACATTTGCTGTATATTTGCTGTATATATGCTTATGACGAACTACGGTTATAACGAACTAAAATTAGCGGTCCCTTTGAGTTCGTTATAACCGTAGTTTACTGTATATGACAATGTAAAGAGCACATGTTAAGTAAACAAAGTAAACTACCGGGCAAAAGAAACTTATCACTTGTAAAAATCTTTATCTGAATTAAAGACGGTGCGATAAGTTAGAATGTTATCAGAAAACATTCACCAAAACACACCCTGTGCACACATGAAAGTCACTTTTTGCAGGATTCAGTGAATTCCATGCAGTCATGGAAATTGGAAAAACAGGAACTGGGGGAACTGTTGAAAATGTTCGTGCATGATTCTTACATAAATACCGGCGTGAGGCAGAGCAAGGATGCAGCATCAAAAAGAACATCAGAGAAATCCCGAGACTCACACAAGAAGAACGTGACAGAGCTACTGGTATGGCCGATATGGGGGCCTCTCGACGGCAGATTGCAAGAACCATTAACTGCAGCCAAACCAGTATCAGCAACTTGTTGAGCCGTTATCAGCAAACAGGCCAGACACAAGACCGTCAAAAATCGGGAAGGCCAAGGGCCACAAAGCCAGTTGAAGAACCCTGCATCCGGACAATTTGCAAGGTCGTGACGACGACGGCATTTGGATCAGACAGCAGACGAACACTCTTACGACGACCCCGCATTGGTGGTATCAGAGCCTACCACTCCTTCCGTGGAATGGCCTTGACCCCTCTACACCGTCAACGCAGATTACAATGGGTAAGTGGCAGCGGCGTGATTGGTAAAGGGTGCTGTTCACAGAAAAAAGTCCGAAATGATGGCCGAGTCCGTGTTTATCGACGTAAGGGAGAGCGAATGGCACCTAACTGCATTATGGTGGAGGCGGCGTCATGGTATTTGCGGTCAGCGGACAAAAAGGCTTGTCATCATCCGTTGGAATCTGACTGGCCAAAGATACAGAAATGAAGTGTTGCGACCTGTTGTAATGCCATTCTTACGTGGACAGCCAAGGGGTACCCTTTTGCAGCAGGACAATGCACATCTGACCGCCAATCTTGTTCGGCAATATCTGCACAACGTTAACGTCAACGTATTGCCTTGACCAGCATGTTCTCCAGACATCAATTCCATAGAGCATCTCTGGGATCATCTTGATCGACAGCTGGGACAACGCGTACCTCCCCCAGCAAACCGACAGCAGCTTGAACAGGTTTCATTGGATGAGTGGCGCAGAATTCCTGCTGGCGTCATCCAGCGATTGACCACATTCACCAGGAGACGTATTTTGAAGTGCATTGATGGTGACGACGGTTCACAGACAAAGACTGTGGTGAAGGGGGATGCTGAAGAAGTTGAGGAAAAGTGGGATATTCTGAGTCTCAAGTCGTAATTGAAAAACAATAACAGAGTTTTCATTTGGAAGAAAGGCGATGTTTAGTTTCGACACGAGTGTGTGTGACCTTGTGAAAAAGAAGCCGTGGTGGCATTACATTTCACGGAGATGGAACTTTGGGTGGGAATATAAACACTCTACAAAATATTGGTATTTTCATGCCGATCCTCGGTCGGTTCCAGCATTTTTGCCGTTAATGACTTCTTCCTTAAAGATGACAAAGCACCCGTTCATCGACCAAATGCCCTGAAAACCTGTTTAGGGGAAAGTTACATTTATGATATGGAAAATAAACTGAAAGCGACATCACGCGAATAATTATAGTCACGTGTAGACATAGCCATATTGTTCTGACATGTGACATAGTCACCAATAACGACTTTCCGGGCATTTTGTTGTTAGACAAAAGCACAACTAAACCGTCATGTGGCTGTTATTTATTTGCGGACTGAAAGGAGGAAAAATGGGAAAATATTAATGCGATTCGAACTCAGGTTGCGTGTGCGACAATCCTTTGGAGTAACGAGTTGAATACAAAGACTGAGTTGTCTCCCTTTTTAACTCTTTCGTGATTAAAAACAACATACATCCGAAGCATGGCGGTAATCTCAAATTCAACATGACAGACGGGAAACGAAAGAGATTGAGCTTAAAAAACAAGAAACCATCTGTTCAACCGGGTATATTTCCTGACAACGACAATAATGGGAACGTTTCTAAGAAGAGAAAGATTTCCAGTACCATGCGGTCTAATTCCAGTCCTAAAAACCTGGATAACATCGCAGAAGGAAATGAAGATTCTGAAGAACCCGAAATTATCTGCCTCTCAGATGAGGAAACAGGCAATCATAAACAAGTCCACCAAAGGTTTGAAGGAGGACACTCATTTATATGTATATTGTTTGCGTTCAAGTGGTTTTCAATATCAATGCTCATGGCACAAAATAATGTTTTGAGCCATTGAGAATACTCGTATAATGCCATAATATTGTAAAGACATTGTAAATACTCGGATGGAGAACAAACGTAAGTCTAGATGTTGGTCCAAATATTTTGAACAGGCTTCATTTCATCACACAAAACTTTCACGTTAAATCAAATTTTAAGTTGTGAAAGCGTTTCTGTATGTACTGACTTCTTGGTTAACATGGTTAACCCTTTTCGGCGGTGATTGGTCAAATTGTTCCAAGTGAACCAAGTAATCCCTGGATGCCTAGCACAACAAAAAATACAATTTAAACGGTAAATCAACATGTCTGGTGATTTTTTTTTTATCTCATATTTCAAATTTGTACTGACAAAGTTTCTTATCATCCGTTCGTTTACAGGAATTCTCTGAAGGGGTACAGTGTCATTTTTTTCTGAGCATAATATACAAATTTACTGAAGCCATTAGCATGATTAGAGGGGGGTGCGCATGATACTTGGGTGCTCACTATACTCAAGAAAATATGGCAGATCTATGCACTGTCAAGACTAATATGGAATGCGTGTGATGAGTGTTTGGTTTGATAAATGCTATTTTTTATGAATGATTAGTTTTGTCGTAACCTTTCATGCGTGACCACAGCAAGGTCACAGTTATCCAATCGAAACAAATAAAACTTGGTAAACCTTGTGACAAACAGACCTCACGACCTCACGACCTGTCTCTTCACCCATGGGTAATAAAGAAAGGTAGCTGGGGTATATTTGTGTCGTGCCTATGCTGACAATTTAGTTTTCATCAAGTGAGCTGATATTTATTTTGGGAGGGTTATTTATCCTAGATCTACTGAAAATGCATCAAGAAGATAATAGGCTTTTATTGTTTTTCAGAAGCAGTGATACAGTGGTTGCATCAATTCTAGATGTTCCTGACAAACAGTTGAGAGAATTGAGAAGAAGATTACTTGAACTAAGAAGACAGGAGTCGGAGACAGGGTACATACAAGAGTTGCCCGAACTTAAACTGATGGAAAAACAGGTTTGTTTTCATGGTTATTGTTATCATCACTGATCATGCTTATTTCTGACCATGATAACCACATCTTGGGTCTAGTGCACAGACAGCAGATGTTCGATGTATTGATTTGTGGCCGTGTCATACCAAAAGACATTATGGATGGTTCTTGTTGTTTCCCTGCCTGCACTCGACATTAAGGGACTGAAATAAGGACTGGTTGGCTCGGAGTCAGTATACTGTGTCCAAGCGGGGTATTCATGTTAAACTGCGGCATGGCATCTCGGTGGGCTAGCAGTATGCGCAAGGGGTGTGCGATATAACTGGTGTACCGGTATATTGCAATAAATCCGTCAGCAATACTGTGCACATTTTGCAATACAGCTGATACAGTACATTCCCAATACAATGTATTAATATTTTTGGTATAAATGGAATAGTTGAATAGAAGAATGAATATATAATTATATAAATTATATCTACTATCGTGAGGTATTTGGATGGACTGGGTTTCTATCTAAACCATGTAGCAGCCTTAGAAATTGGCACTAGTCCTTAAGTCCTTGCTAAACTGCCAAATAGTAAAGGTATCCTAAGGACCAGTAGAAAGTTGCCATTATTAAGGGTTTTTCTATATATTATCAGAAGGACTAGTGAACTGAAACTATTAGTTTCTACCACTGTGCAGCCACACTTCAAGTTGTAAACCTTAATTATTCCATATTGATGATGTAATAGGTAGTCTTGTTTATCCATGCTACCCCTCTGACAATCTGAAGTCTGGATTATTGAATGAAGAAGTACCATTTGAACAGTACAAATATGAATAATTTGGGCCCCAATACGTAAATCGCAATATGTATTGCAATACAGCCCTCCGTATTGCAATATATTGCAAATGATTTATGTGCCAGTATGCCAAGCCTAGTATGCATGTCCCTGTAAACATCATGAAAGTGCAATAAGCTTGAACACAATGTTAAAACCTCATTTCACCTGATCTATCGTCATGGTAATATAGTCAGTGGCGTGGCAATATCATGAAATTATATTGATTGGTGACAAAATCAAGAGAATATTTGAATCTACAGTTAAATGTGCCGATGCAGGGATGCATCTTTGATTCCGAGGTAAATGTAATATGGTCCGTCTTCTCAAGGCAACATTGTCCACTAGACCATATCAATTCTAGTTTACGCTTGCCCTTTCAAGCTGACTTTTCTGTGCTAGAACAGACATGCCAGGGAAAGGACTACTGCACATATCAATACTCCAATCAGAAACCACCTTACATGATCAGCAACCAGGTTCCCAAAACATGGCCGCTGTTTTGGCCACCCCCATATCCATTCCAAATTTCTTCTGAACTTATTCCAATTATTAAGCGAAGCCAAATATTTTTTAGGTTTTTCGACTCTTTCCAAATTTCCAATCAACGTGATCAAGTACTTTGTACATTTTATTGTTAGTGCAAACTTCATTGTATTTTAAGTAGGGCAACTGAACGCTCATCGCAGTGACGGAGATGCAGTGCTATTCTTAGACAAGGCAAGGCAAGGGTGAAAATGTTTGATAAATGCTCTCTTGCCTCAGAAAGATGGTGTGGTCTATCAGAGGTTTCAAACAGTTGATTTGACAGGCGGATCAATACGGAAGCTGATACATTTAGAAAAATACTTCTATTTTCATCATAGTCCATAATTTGAAATAATGATAAATACAATATTGAATGTCAGAGGCAATACATTTTCAGGGAAACATTCGGTACAACAATAGTGTATTACAAGTGTTAGGGACAACAGAGATCTTGTAATCTTGAGTCACAATGAGCTATGTGATAATAACAATGTTTACCACAGTGACATAAGATGTAGAACTAAACCTTGCAGGCTGACTTAATTTTCTTTTAATCCAGTTAAGGTTGGCTTACGAAGTATCTGTCCTTCACACTTTCAGTAAAATATAATGATCATGATGATGTAAGCAAACAGTGTTTGAGCAAATACAGTATCATGTTTTGTAAAAGAGCTACTTTCAGGTTCACATTGACAACCCATTGAAAACATTGGAGTCGACCCTGGCTGCTTCACTCGACAATCATGGTGACCTGTGAAGATCCGGGGTAGAATAGGTCTTCCACAACCCATACTTGCCGTAAAAGGCGACTGTGCTTGTACTTTTGTAGTAAGAGGCGACTAATGGGATCAGCTGGTCAGGCTCACTGACTTGGTTGATGCATGTCATCGTATCCCAATTGTGTGGATTGATGTTCATGATGTCAATCACTGGATTGTCTGGTCCAGACTCGATTATTTACAGACCGCCATCATAAAGCTGGAATATTGCTGAATGCGGCGTTAAACAACAAACAAACAAACAATAATCATAGTAGAAAAGAGCTGTACATAATAACGTGTTTTTAATGTAGAGTTACCTGTAGATTTAACTGTGCAGTATTAAACATTTGAAACCTCACACTGGAGGATCAGTTCCAAATTCAATCTAGTACGGTTAATTCCTGTATGTCTATCACCTATTTATTTTTAAATTGGTTGTTTTAAACAAATGTTCTTATGGCTAGATCACAGAAAACCGGATACCTTCTGCCATTTTGGTAAGGTTTGGCGCAAGCTCCTTCCTTAGTAACGGTTTGTAAGTTTTTCCGCTTCCATTTTGACCGTCTTGTGACATTAAAAGGGGTGTTGGGGGCTCTGCCCCTACACAAGCCTTTTGATTAAAGCTCTTGTAAGTAACTGCCATTTTCAGTCACTAATGTTAATAAAAAACACTATGTGTTTGTTGAAATGTAGCCCCTATGCTTGTAACTGATGAGGTTGCCTCGTGCCATCAGAGTTAAAGATTGTGAGATTACATGAATGTAGGCATAGGCTTTTCACCAGTTGCCATGTCAACAACCCATCCACCATCTTCGAAGTGAGCGTCTGGAGGCCGAATAGAGACTTACTAAACAAGTTTACTTGAGTTAACTTTGTCATGAATAGCAGAAATTCAGACTGACATGACATTTTCTGTTGAGTGGCACATATGAATATTGTGATGCGCCATCATAGAGTCAGAAACTGAAGGGTCAAGGACGCAACCTCTGGCAAACTGAAGTACCACATTATCAAATTCAACAAACAATGGCTTAGAAACTGCTGCTCACACTTGATTGAATAGCAATCTCTTAAGACCAGATATTTTAACTTTACTCCTATGGACAGTTTGAATCAGATTTGAATGAATTTGGATGAAATAGTATCTGATCAAACTTTTATTTGTGTTTGTCAAATCCTTTTTTTCATTTAAAACAAATTCACAAGCTAGTATCAAGATCATGTTAATAACTTGATCTACATTGAGTAATATTTTGTGTATTTGATTTTTTAAATTGGCTGAATATGACTTTATCTTTCTCGTGTTAACAAGGAATAATCTGCATTTCAGAAAAAAGATGGACCAAGGGAAACAACTCATGTTGCCTTATTGTCATCCAGTGATCAGGAGTACTCTCCCCTGCCTCAGATGTGTTTTGCCTGTGCAAGGAGGAAACCAATTAATCATAATTTCAGCTCAGTTGTGAACTCAATACTTAATTCACCACATAGCAATAACAGTTCTTCAGATTGCAATTCTCCGAAGGTAACGGCCTTTAAAATGACTGAAAGTTGTTCACCACTGAAGCAAAGATCTTCCCCATCAGAATGTGATGAACATGATCAGGCTGTTGTCACTTCAAAATCATTAGTTTTAGATTCTGAAGATATGTCAGATTTTGAAGAAGATGTTCTGATGTTTGATACTGAAGAGACACATAAGATGCAAACATGTGAAAAAAGCAAAATAGTTTTAAAAAACCCAACACTGAACACACTGAAAGATGGACCCAGTTCATCAGTGGATGCCGAGGCGTCAGCTCCTCGCTGTGAGGACAACATACTGTCTGCATGTCCGTTGTGTACCATGGAGTTCGGAAAAGGGTACGTAGAATATATAACCTGATCTAAAATGTTGGCAGCATAGACGGCCTTGTCCTCTGAGGCAGAATTACATCCATTAGGCACGCCAGAAACCTATGACGGTGGGTTCAGTCCCAGTTCGCCCCGATAATGTTACTAGGTTTGTCAGCAACATACCCGTGCTCGTGGGTTTCACTGAAGTGGTAAACGTCTAAGACCTTTCGGGCTTTCCTCCCACATTAAGCTGACACGCCGTGATATTACTGGAATACTGTTCAAAGTGCCGTTAAACCCAACTCACTCTAAAATAAACAAATTGGGAGAATATATTGATATATATTTGATAAACATGTGAGTATGTCACTTTGGGCAGTGGAGTTGAACTGAAACATATCCCCTGTGTTTAATCAATAGTGTAATATGCCCTCATTAACCTATAGTTGTCATTAGAGCTCGCTTTGACTTAGGAAAGGAAGCATTCCATGGGCACTTCTTCTGTTACTGGTATAAGATTTATTTCCTGCATAATAAAATCAGTGTGCAGGAATTTTTAATTGGATCTAGTCAGAGTCCTCAAGTCTGCAGCAAATTATATATGCATGTAGAATAGTTAACTTAATGGCACACTTTTCCTGATGTTTTATATTTATGCATTGATTGAAATATCAAAATACAATGTAAATGAATCAAGTCTGAATTTAAGACAATTTAAGAAAAGAACTTTTTTCCCTAATTGCATGTCAGGTGCACTCTTTTTAAAATCCTGCATGTGCCTGTTAGTTCATGAACACGACATCCAGATGATATGCACTGAACAATGTGTCCTGATGTCAATAGTTAGCATCTACCGCTCTCTTGCAGGACATCCCAACTGGACATAGATGGCCACATCGCTGCCTGCCTCTCAGCTGCCGGGGATGATGCCACATGGTGATCTGGACACTGAGCCTTCAACCCATGAAGATTCGACTTAGAATTAGTCTTCAGAAACCCATGCTTGTCGTAAGAGGCAACTAACGGAACAGAGTGGTCAGACTCGCTGACTTCGTTGATGCATATCAGTGTATCCAGATGCATAGATTGATGTTCATGATGTCAATCACAGGATTGTCTGGTGAAGACTTGATTGTTGTCATATAGCTGAAATATTGTTGAGTGTAAACAAGAAACAAACAAATAGACAAGGACGGACTTTGGAGAAGTCACTTGGTGATCTGGTCACTGAGCCTTCTGTTGTCAAACTGAGGCTGGAGACGTCACAAAGTGGTCTGGTCACTGAGCCTTCTGTTGCCATACTGAGGCTGGAGACGTCACATGGTGATCTGGTCACTGAGCCTTCTGTTGCCATACTGAGGCTGGAGACGTCACATGGTGATCTGGTCACTGAGCCTTCTGTTGTCAAACTTAGGTTGGAGACGTCACATGGTGATCTGGTCACTGAGCCTTCTGTTGTCATACTGAGGCTAGAGACGTCACATGGTATTCTGGTCACTGAGCCTTCTGTTGTCACACTGAGGCTGGAGACGTCACATGGTGATCTGGTCAGAGAGCCTTCTGTTGTCAAACTGAGGCTGGAGACGTCACATGGTGATCTGGTCACTGAGCCTTCTGTTGTCATACTGAGGCTGGAGACGTCACATGGTGATCTGGTCGCTGAGGCTTCTGTTGTCAAACTGAGGCTGGAGACGTCACATGGTGATCTGGTCAGAGAGCCTTCTGTTGTCAAACTGAGGCTGGAGACGTCACATGGTGATCTGGTCACTGAGCCTTCTGTTGTCATACTGAGGCTGGAGACGTCACATGGTGATCTGGTCGCTGAGGCTTCTGTTGTCGTACTGAGGCTGGAGACGTCACATGGTGATCTGGTCGGTGAGCCTTCTGTTGCCATACTGAGGCTGGAGACGTCACATGGTGATCTGGTCGGTTAGCCTTCTGTTGTCAAACTGAGGCTGGAGACGTCACATGGTGATCTGGCCAGTAAGCCTTCTGTTGTCAAACTGAGGCTGGAGACATCACATGGTGATCTGGTCGGTGAGCCTTCTGTTGTCAAACTGAGGCTTGAGACGTCACATGGTGATCTGGTCGGTGAGCCTTCTGTTGCCATACTGAAGCTGGAGACGTCACATGGTGATCTGGTCGGTTAGCCTTCTGTTGTCATACTGAGGCTGGAGATGTCACATGGTGATCTGGTCAGAGAGCCTTCTGTTGCCATGTGGGGCTGTGGTTGATCCTAGTGGTTAAGGCACCAATGGTCCAGGTCCGTTTCCCCACATGGGTACCTTAGAATATGTGACAAAGTAGACACAACTTATGGATAACAACTTCTTTAAATACTGTAAGGGCAACGTTTTAGTATAGAACCTTTTACCGTTGTCAAGCAAGACAACACTGTACGGAAACGTCTTCTTTGTCATCCGTCAACTTCTTACAATGCCTATCAAACAATTCAAAGAATATGTGGATCACATATCTGGTGCCCCCCTCCTTGTCAGTGCAGGATTGCTGCTGAACGTAGTGTAAAACCATACTCATTCTTACTGATGCCGGAGACGATGACTGTAGCTTGTAGTACTTTTGAATGCTCTTTTGAATTTATATTCAAGATGTTTGCTTTTAACCTGAACCTTATATCATAAAACATAGAATTCTTGTTAAGTTGTAGCAAAAATGAGATGTGGTATGTTATGTATGTTAATCGTTGTAGACTATGATTTTATAGCACATGTTAGTGAGTGAGTGAGGTTTTACGCCGCCATTAGCAATATTCCAGCAATATCACAATAGGGGGACACCAGAAATGGGCTTCACACATTGTACCCATGTCGGAAATCGAACCCATGTCTTCAGCGTGACGAGCGAAGGCTTTAACCACCAGGCTACCCGACCACCCCATAGCACATGTTATATATGCATACAAGAAAGTCACCTCCCACTTCCCTGAATGGACTCATGTGGGAGCCCGGGTTGAATTAGTCCCCAGCTATGTTTGCTGGTCGTGACAGGCAGCTTTAGGGTTGGCCTTGGCGACTTGGTGGATCGCGTGATCACGAACCACCCAATGGCCTGGATTGTTGTTCATAATATCACTCACCAGATCGATTATTTACAGGGCACATCCAGAAAGCTGGAATATTGCTGAATAGCATTAAACAAGACACACACATACATTTCAGTGTTTTAGACCAGTAGCAATAACAAGTTCTGTATTGTTTGTTTTTTGACAAATTTAGATTATGCCTGACCTTGTTATATAAAGGCCCAAAGTCGTCAGAATCCATACAGGGATTCCAGGGTTCCAGGGTTATCTTGGTCCCCAATACCCTCGGAATATAAGGTTGATAACATGTCATCAAACTGGGAGGTTGCTCACCGTATCGACCACTGGTTTGTTGCATGTGCTGAGCCCCTCCTACGATGACTACTGTGGGAGTGGCCATACTGTGCAAATCTGGGCATACACACTGCCAATTGAGACATGGGTGGCCCAGTCTAAAGACAGATTGCGTCCCTTGTGCACGCCAGAAACCTGGATTACGGGTTTGAATCCTGATTCGCCCCCATTATGTTTTTAGATCTGTCAGCACCATACCCATGTTTGAGACCTGCATCACTTCGGGCTTTCCCCCAACATTAAGCTGACATGCTGTGATTTAACTGGGATACTGTTAAAGCAGTGTTAAACCTGACTCACTCACTCACTCAGCTTGCCAGGGGCGGTCGGGTAACCAAGTGGTTAAAGCGTTCCCTCGTCATGCCGAAGATCCCGCCGTGATATTGTTGGAATGTTATTAAAAGCGGCGTAAACTCACTCACTCACTCACTCACTCACTCACTCACTCACTCACCCACTCACTCACCCACTCACTCACTCACTCACTCTCTCACTCACTCACCCACCCACGCACTCTCTCACTCACTCACTCACCCACCCACGCACTCTCTCACTCACTCACTCACTCACTCACTCACTCACTCAGCTAGCCTGATGTATAGTTGTATGAGTTGTTTTAGACTTGTGCAAAGAAGCCCGAAAATCACATGTTTGTCATGACTCCCCCAAGCATTGACTTTGTAGCTGGAATGTTGCTCTCTCAGGTGTAGACACCGTTGGTCAAATCCAACTAATCCACAAGAGTGAAGTTAATGCTTGTTTCAAAGACTAAAAAGGTTGAGATTCTAAAAATGTTTGTCTTACAAAAAAACTGATGGTCCCTTTTCCAACTAGGATGCACTGAAGTAATGACTCATTTCACTTTATGCAATATTCTTCTTATAAGTAAATAGATGTTTTCATACTTCTTGCACAGGTACCAATTTAAATCCGGGGTAGAATAGGTCTTCAGCAACCCTTGCTTGTCTCCCTGTGAAGATCAGGGGTAGAATAGGTCTTCAGCAACCCTTGCTTGTCTCCTCGTGAAAATCCGGGGTAGAATAGGTCTTCAGCAACCCTTGCTTGTCTCCCCGTGAAGATCCGGGGTAGAATAGGTCTTCAGCAACCCTTGCTTGTCTCCCCGTGAAGATCCGGGGTAGAATAGGTCTTCAGCAACCCTTGCTTGTCTCCCCGTGAAGATCCGGGGTAGAATAGGTCTTCAGCAACCCTTGCTTGTCTCCCCGTGAAGATCCGGGGTAGAATAGCTCTTCAGCAACCCTTGCTTGTCTCCCCGTGAAGATCCGGGGTAGAATAGGTCTTCAGCAACCCTTGCTTGTCTCCCCGTGAAGATCCGGGGTAGAATAGGCCTTCAGCAACCCATGCTTGTCTCCCCGTGAAGATCCGGGGTAGAGTAGGTCTTCAGCAACCCTTGCTTGTCTTCCCGTGAAGATCCGGGGTAGAATAGGTCTTCAGCAACCCTTGCTTGTCTCCCCGTGAAGATCTGGGGTAGAATAGGTCTTCAGCAACCCTTGCTTGCTGTAAAAGCCGCTAACAGGCGACTATGCTTGTCGTAAGAGGTGACTAACGGGATTGGTTGGTCAGACTTGCTGGCTTGGTTGATGCATGTTATCGTATCCCAATTTTTGGATCGATGCTAATGATGTCAATCACTGGATTGTCTGATTTAGACTCGATTATTAAAGACCGCCGTCATATAGCTGGAATATTGCTGAGTCCGGCTTAAAACAACAAACAAACAAATCTTGCACAGGTGGTCTAGACGTTTATGCAATTCACTGTTCAGAGCTGCTAGAAACCTAAGATTGCTGGTTCGAATCCCTTTTCAGCATGATAATGTTTCTAGGTTTGTCAGCACCATACCCGTGCTGGTGGGTTTCACCAAAGTGGTAAACGTCTTAGACCTGCATCACTTCGGGCTTTCCCCACACTAAGCTAAGACCCTCTTGTAAGTAAATGGATGTTTTCATCAAAACTAATCATTTTTTCTTTGAATATTTGGTGTCAAAAGACTGATGAGGTTGTCACATGCTGTAATGGAATTTCTATTTTCGAGTACTTTTTTGATGGTGATGTTCATTTTTTTCGATGTTTGGATTGATGTTCAATTTCGAGGTTTAGTCATATTTAACCATACAAACGCAAGCTGTCATTTTTTCGGCTTATTTTGAGCTTTATCGCCCTGTTTTTGAAATAGTGTGGCAGGTGTGTGCAGCTACATTACTCTTTACACATGAAATAAAGCTTTTTTACCCAACTGAGTACTCCAAAGCTTCAATTAGGGGGGGTATCTCTGCATTTCCCTAAACATTGAAAAACATGGTATAAATAATATTATCTTTAACAGAAATGTTTTGAAATTAAGATAATCATTTTTTACCATTCACTTAAAAGTAATTCAATGATCATTGCAAAATTAGCGACGGTCATTTTTTAAATGTTGACACAGGGGAGATAACTCTTTGTAGTGGTTTAACTAAAAAGTCATCCTGAAAATTTTATAATAAAAATGAAACATCGAAATGGTTAACAGTGAAACTAATTTCTGTTCAACTCTACAGGGAAGATCACAACATTTCCAAGGTTGTCGTTTTGACAAATATTAAATAAATATAGAAGCACCTCAGAGAATAATCTTTTGTGAAGGGTTCTCAGTTAAAATAAGTTCTGTTAGAATCTATAAAAGAGAACGCAAAAACATTCCTGAACAAGGTTAAATCCAAAGTTGTAAATTGAAACTGCAGTAAAGTACAATAATTATCCTTTTGGGTAACTTTCAGCACTTGCAATGAGGATGTCATTTCTTATTTGGCCTACAAAATACATATTCATGAACTGTGATAATTAATTTCTCCTTCATAATATTTTGAGTTTCGTCTTGTGAATTGAAATGACCACATGATTGTGAGTACTTCACATATATTTCCACTATCCAAATCTGCATATCTGGAAGTCATAAATCAAGCAGTTACTGGCCCATTTGATTGTTGTCTGCTGTACAAGTCTTGATGTTGTTTAGTTTGACACTAATTGTTATTTAAGTTATTTACTATCTTCAGTTTCTCCAGATGCTTAGTGACGTGTATGTCCAGCTCACATCTTCATGGCACGATGGATATATCACATTGATCTTCAGACAGTGAAAGTGACACAGAAACTGGTAAGACCTGTCTCTAATCCTTACATTGTCATAATCTACATGTGTGTCATCAGGGATAGTCGTCAGTTGCTCAGTGATGCGGCTTGGCATTTGATCACCATCAAACTAAACAATGGGTAGGTTCCATCTTCTAACTTCCAGCCAAGTCCTTCTGGTGCATATTGAACTGGAGTTTGTGTGTGAGCATTTCTCTACACACTCGATACAAGTTTGTCCATTTGTTCTTTTGGATGGTAGACACCCAGAATCTGTCAAGTGGAGCAGAATTTGTTGTTGGATCATACTGTTTCAAATAACTCCAGAAACGTTTTCTGATATCGTCTGTGACAACTCCAGACACTTAAACGTTGATTAGCAGGATGTCTGGACCATTTGCAAGGTCGACACTTTCCCTTTCTGATGAATGCAGCTGTGTAGTTGCAACCTGTGAAAGTGTACAGATGGAAGTACTTGACACATCTTCGCCAACTACAAAAGCAACTGCATTGATGTTGAGATAGCATCTTGTGTGGTTGCGGGTATTTCCTGTATCCATCCGACCGCCTCCGTGGTTTAGTGGAAGAGCATCCGCCCAGAGAGCCGAAGGTCCAAGGTTCAATCCCCATTCGCGCCATAGCAATAGACGTTAAAAGATGGTACTTGTTGTTACCCTGCCTGGCACTTGACATTTAGGGGCTAAAACACGGACTGGTCGTCTCGGAGTCAGTATACTGTGTCTGAGTGGAGTATTCATGTTAAACTGCGGCATGGTATCTCAGTGGGCAAGCACTATAAATCGGCATCAGTCCGGACTAGTACAAGCAGCCACACTCACACACATGTGCATGCACGACGCTATACAAGTGCAATAATCTTGGGTGTGACGTTAAACCCCATTTCACCTCACCTCGACACCTGTATCCTTCCACATGTCTGCCTTTCAGGTGATGAAGCAGCAAAACTGGCATGTCGCTGTATGATTGCTGAATAGGAGGTATTACATGGCTAATTCCTGCCACAAACCAGTGAATGTAGGAGCTCATCTCCATCACCTGTCTGTTAACGGACTCCAAGTCTTTGAGACAGTCTCCGTGGTCTAGTGGATAGAACTTCTGTCCGGCCAGCGGAAGGTCATGGGTTCAATACCCAGCAGCGTCATACCAACACATGTTGAAAGATTGTACCTTGTCTGCTATGTGGCATCAAGCGGCTAAACACGGACTGGTCGGCTCGGAGTCAGTATACTGTGTCTGAGTGGAGTAGGGGGCACGGGTGGCCCAGTCGTCTAAGGCGCCGCAATTCGCTGTGCAGAGTTGCGTTCCTTGGGCAAGCCAGAAACCTATGATTGTGGGTTCGAATCCTGGTTCGCCCCGATTATGTTTCTAGGTTTGTCAGCACCATACCCGTGCTCGTGGGTTTCACCGAAGTGGTAAACGTCTGAGACCTGCATCACTTCGGGCTTTCCTCCCACATTAAGCTGACACGCCGCGATATAACTGGAATACTGTTAAAAGCGGCGTTAAACCAAACTCACTCACTCACTCACTGAGTGGAGTATTCATGTTAAACTGTGGTATGGTATCTCAGTGGGCTAGCTCTATAAAAATCGGCATTAGTCCCGACTAAAAACAAAAACAATTTCACCTCACCAAATCTTTCATTGTTGCAACGACATCCTGTTGCTAGGAGACTTCACCAGCCTAAATTGAGGTCAGGGAATGGTTTTTTCTGGTATATTTGTGTCCTCAGTTGGGTGCGACATTAAGTTTAAACTCACTCTTCAAATGGGGTACGGGCAACCTGTCATTGCCTTTCAATATATAAAGGCTATCATTAGCCTAATTCATGATTTGGAAGTGGATGAGGGATCATCGACATTCTAGCCTCTGGGATGTAGGTTCCTCTTGGGTTGTAGATCAGCAGATACAACTCAATCAACTCTGAGAAGAAATGGCCTGGTTTGAAGTTGTCCAATCTTGCTGACGGACTCATAGTCTGTTCTGTCATTGTTCCCCAGGTGCCACTGTTGTCCATGGTGAATAGCCTCAAACACACAGTCCGCTGGACACCGGTGAAACATGGCACACCTGTTCAATATTCACCAGAAGGACATGGCCATTGGACACTGGTGAAACATGGCACGCCTGTTCAATATGCACCAGAAGGACATGGCCGCTGGACACCGGTGAAACATGGCACGCCTGTTCAATATGCACCAGAAGGACATGGCCATTGGACACCAGTGAAACATGGCACGCCTGTTCAATATGCACCAGAAGGACATGGCCGCTGGACACCGGTGTAACATGGCACGCCTGTTCAATATGCACCAGAAGGACATGGCCGCTGGACACCGGTGAACCATGGCAAGCCTGTTCAATATGCACCAGAAGGACATGGCCGCTGGACACCGGTGAACCATGGCACGCCTGTTCAATATGCACCAGAAGGACATGGCCGCTGGACACCGGTGTAACATGGCACGACTGTTCAATATGCACCAGAAGGACATGGCCGCTGGACACTGGTGAAACATGGCACGCCTGTTCAATATGCACCAGGACATGGCCGCTGGACACCGGTGAAACATGGCACGCCTGTTCAATATGCACCAGAAGGACATTCATCGATAGAAACTACCAATTGCTGAGTTAGATGGTGATCAAATGCCAAGCTGCATCACTGTGCAACTGACGACCAACCCTGATGATTCAGATGTAGATATTGCTGATGTAAGCATCACTGACAGTTCGGACAGTGAAAGTGACACTGACACTGACACGCATGTAGAAGATGAATGTGGTATGGTTGTTGTGCCTTAAAGATGTGAGCTGGATATGCATGTCACTTAGCATCTGGAGAAACTGAAGACAGTAAATAGCTTGAATAACAATTTGTGTCATACTAAACAAGATCATGGCTTTTACAGATGGCAACTGTTTGATTTATAGCTTCCAGATATGCAGATTTGGATAGTGGAAATATATGTGAAGTACTTCCAATCATGTGGTCATTTCAATTCACAAGACGAAACTCAAAATATTATGAAGGAGAAATTAATTATCACAGTTCATGAATTTGTATTTTGTAGGCCAAATAAGATATGACATCCTTATTGCAAGTGCTGTAAGTTACCCAAATGGATAATTATTGTAAATTGAAGCTGCAGTAAAATACCACATTGTTCAGATAAGACAAACATCCTCAATGCAGCCCATTCGGAAGACGACCTCAACAAAGAACAACAGAAATCACATTTTATCATATAGCACTTATTTAATCTTTAAGCAAGTACAGACACAAAGGAACAAGTAAGTAGAATCTGAAACAGTTTTGAGAGTAACCCTACTTGAAATAACAGTGCTTCTGACAAGCATATCTCACAAGACAGGCCTACATATGGAAGGTTGGCAATACACAGCTAAATCTCCCCAACATTGTCGTAAACCATCTCTCTGTAATCTGCATCACCAAATATCGTAGTGACTCTGCATTTCAGGATCAGAACAAAGGTTGGATTAAAACAAAACACGCCTAGTAAATGGTGTAGTTGGCTGAAGTGGGACACTTATCACAGAAATTTTATTTTTCATCTCCTAAATGTACATTTTTGGGGTAAATGGTAAGAAACAACAGCAAGCTTTTTAAAATTGCATTCTTGAGCAAACATGCATGTAAGGGGTGGTCTCCGGTAATATACTTGAAAGCTAACCTTTGACTTTTTTTAAAAGCTCTTTTGTAAGGCTAGCTGAAGAGCACCTTAAAGGCGACGAGATTTTACATGTCTGCATAAATCGACCCTAGTATGGCACTCTGAATATCGCCGCTTGAAATTTTATTCAAACTGCTTTCAAATAAATTATGTCACTCTTTGGAAATAAGTTATTGCCAAGAAGAAATTCTCAAATAATAGACTGACAAAACATTATTCCGTGTAACTAAACTGGTGTTTGAAAGCAACAAGCAGCCAGGAACAAAACTCACGCTTAGCTCAGCAGGGAAGGAATTGCAGGGTTTATGTTGTACCGATCTCCAGAAGACAAATCACAGGTTGTAAACATAATGTAGTTTTTCAGCATTCTAATCTATGACTTTTATAAAACAGGGGATGATCTCAAAAACTACCAACTTGACCATTGAACACATGACTCAACCTTCACCATCGGGTTCAAATACAGCTGATGATGTTTTTGAGATGACCCCCCAGATGAGCAAAATCCTAGTTTTGCACGTATCCTTAAGCCATTGTTTGACACCGGTTGGCCATTATATGGCTCTCCATCAGTAGGACCACTCGAGTGATGTCATATATACACAAGCCTGTGTACCAGCAAACTGCCATGTTGTTCAGGGACTCTTATGTACATAAATACCCCAGTGCTGTAGACTTGGCAATTAATAACCTATCCTAAAAACTTTCACCAACAATTTCTAATTTCATTTCCCACTTTCATTAATGATACTTATGTCCAAAACTTACAATTTGAATATTTTTAATTAGTTTCAGCAAGAGCTACAGCAGTGGGTGGTTGGTCTGGTCTAGGACCTATGCAATATACCTTATTGGCATATGACTGTGCTCTCAACAGTTGTAAAGACAGCTTCAAACTATACCAGCGACACAAAATACCTTGATTAAAATCTTCGAGAAAAAAAAGTTTGATGTTTGGGGCTTTGATTGATAACCTTGACATTGCATGATGAAGTAACTTGCTACAACACTGACACTGATGTTTTGTGCAAGATTTGATATTTGAGACATTCCTCGTTCGTCTCTAGCTCTAAGAAACAAAATTATCTCAATGTAAAATGTTGCATAACTACATAGTTTTGGACTCTCAGAGCCAAAATGTTCCTCCTTAGATTAAAATATTTTATCTCCCAAATTGCTCTGCAGAGCATGTTTCTTGCTTTTAAAGCATACCAATACGTACATTGCTGTAATTCCTCTTCCGGCTCATTACAAAGAAACAATACAATGATACTCGTCACAAGATTAACAATATCAAACAAAGTTCACAAATATTAATGTGGCACAAAACATTTCACTTAATATTTTGAATAAATAAATAGAGACTGATGTCAACGTCAATTGTAGTCTTCTCTCATTCTCCCTGCAAGAGCTTGGAGGAAATGAAGCGATGATCAGTAAAGTTCTTAACAATATTCACATTTAAGAAATAGTTCAACAAAATCAAATTAGACACAGACAGAATGACAGTCAGCTGTTCATCAATCTATGAACACTTCCTGAACACTTCCAGGCATTAGGCTGCAGAGGATAAGAAATAACATTGCATGGCAATCGGCCATTCCTTCCATCCATCTGATCACCATAAATGATATTAAAAGAGTCACATTCAGTTCATTGTGTTCAAGTTTGTTAAAAGATTGAAGACAGTCACTTGACAATAACAAAGTGCTTACATTGAAATGCCCAACAAGAATGTTCATTCTAGTGCTGTTTGTGTCTGCCTATGAACAGTGAACAGGTTTCCATGTTATGTCCTTGTCTGTTCACACAATGTGAACACGCCACAGAAAAAGACAACTGTCCATAAGGTACAGCTCACATGTTCATCACAAACCTAGCTGTGAGTTCAGGATGAACAGACGCCTGTTTGACTAACCCTGTACACTACACTATTATACCTCACAGTATACATCGGTGAACATGATAACAACAGCCTTCAAATGTACAGAGAAAGATACATAAGATGCTCAGGACCGTTTGAGGTGTTCAATTCACTGCAGTTCATGGCCACAGCAAGGTGGTCACAGACAGCAGTTCATGGCCACAGTAAGGTGGTCACAGACAGCAGTTCATGGCCACAGTAAGGTGGTCACAGACAGCAGTTCATGGCCACAGTAAGGTGGTCACAGACCGCAGTTCATGGCCACAGTAAGGTGGTCACAGACAGCAGTTCATGGCCACAGTAAGGTGGTCACAGACCGCAGTTCATGGCCACAGTAAGGTGGTCACAGACCGCAGTTCATGGCCACAGTAAGGTGGTCACAGACAGCAGTTCATGGCCACAGTAAGGTGGTCACAGACAGCAGTTCATGGCCACAGTAAGGTGGTCACAGACAGCAGTTCATGGCCACTGTAAGGTGGTCACAGACAGCAGTTCATGGCCACAGTAAGGTGGTCACAGACAGCAGTTCATGGCCACAGTAAGGTGGTCACAGACAGCAGTTCATGGCCACAGTAAGGTGGTCACAGACAGCAGTTCATGGCCACAGACAGTCGTTCATGGCCACAGTAAGGTGGTCACAGACAGCAGTTCATGGCCACAGTAAGGTGGTCACAGACAGCAGTTCATGGCCACAGTTAGGTGGTCACAGACAGCAGTTCATGGCCACAGTTAGGTGGTCACAGACAGCAGTTCATGGCCACAGTTAGGTGGTCACAGACAGCAGTTCATGGCCACAGTAAGGTGGTCACAGACAGCAGTTCATGGCCACAGTAAGGTGGTCACAGACTGCAGTTGAAGAAACATATGGCACACTAATACAACATGGCTTGACTATGTCTGTACAGTACTGTACAAGGGTCACAGGGTTCATCCCGCGTTCTCTAGTGACTGTTCACATGTACACTGTTTACAAGTAGTTTGTGTGTACAGTTTTACAAGCAACTGATGACAAGTGACTGTCACTTGTACAGTATTCAGCAATGGTACACATATGCACTGTACACAGATTACTTTAGAAGCAAAGTGCATGCTTTTCTTATTTACAGCCTGCATAGCATGTTATGTTACAATTGTCAACATTTCGCCATAATATGTCTAAAACATCTCCTGTTGTCTATCTTGGTGGGTCCCAAAATTCCCCTAGTCACCCCATAAGATATATTTTCTCAAAATAAAATATTTACACTTGGGGCAGTTAAAGATAATTATGTTTATAATTCGTGAATTAGTCACGTTGACCTGACCTGACCTCAGCTAATGGGCATGCTATACATTTTCATACAAAACTGACATGAATATTCATTAGTTTCATTCTAGTCACATCATACCTTCTCAAATTACAAGAACATTTATGGTTTTTTAAACTAAAATTGTCACAGTTGGTCAGAAATTTTCATTTCATCACAAAATTACTTGGACTGGTGTTTGGAAAGCTGGTATGATGTTGACAACAATGATAGATCTCCGACAATAGAAGCACACAACCTAGAACAATTATTGTGCGATGAAGGGAAGTACAGCTGAAACCATCATAGGAACAATCACACGAGACAATTATACAGCTCAGAGGATGGACATGAAATTCTGGCCACTGCTGTCGACAATGACGTATGAGGGTTGAATGCATTAACTGTGTGCTATACATTGGGATTGAACAATGAGGTGATTGAAGATTTCCAGTCGGTTATTTCACCCAAGTCAAAACATTGGAAACAGTTATTTTATAGAATAAAATAAATATGCTAACTGACCCAAAAATAACCCTTTTTCAAACCGTCATCTTAAAATCCACATTGGTAATCTGTGCATTTTACGGCAACAAGGTTTGAAATGGTTTTTAGCCAACAATGAACGGAAACTGTGAACAATGAATGAATACCCGTGAAGCAGCTGGGGGGATGTAATTCCGAGGGATAGTACCAAAAGCATTTAACCAATGAAGCACTTCAATTCACTTCATTCCCTTTCAGTACAGAAATACACAATTTCTTCCATGGTGTCTCCTTTTCAAGACATGAAAACCCATTAAAGGATTGGGTGGCCTTCTTTCAAAGAGGGTGTATTGGTAGGCTGCTTTTTGTACTATCCATAAGATATGGTTGAAACAAAATGTGTTCAAGTTTGGGTACTGACCAGTGTATCATCGTCGGGGATGGTCTGGGATTTGGAGATATCAATGTAGTTTTCCATTTTGGAAACATATTAACAATTCCTTCATTCATGTGGCAATTGTATTATTTTCCAAAGAAATGGAGCAATCAACAAATATTTTTTCAGATACTGAAAAAGACTTCCCCCAAGAAGATAAACTGATCAGTTCCGAAATGCCCTATATTGTTAATGGAAGAGTTCATATTGCAGGAAAGGAACTCATTAAAGAAATTCATTCACTTTCGTTGATTCTGAATATAAAACCTGTCTACTCATATTGTAATGCTGTTTCTATTAAAAAAAATAAAACCACACAATTACAAATGCTTAAAGATTGTAGAAAGGATTATCAATTTAAATTTCAAATATTTTGAAACATGATCACAACTTAAGTGTCAATTGTTTGAACACACGAACATGCCCAGACAGAGAAACATTGTAAAACAGAGCATTGTGAGAAAGCAGACAGACATAACACAACTATGAAAAAGTCTGGAAACTTGCACTAACCATACAATCTGTATTTTAGTTATGTAACTATTTCCCTCCTAACTTGAACAGACCACAGTCAGCACAAACAAAGCATTTCTTTGGTCAAGTTTGTTGGAGAAATGGCAATCATCCAATGAAACATAGAAGTCTTAGCCTACCTAATTAGCAGAACCTGAAACTTTCAACAAGCATAATAAAACTATTAAATCCTTATTTATGGATATTAATAAAAAATAATTTCCTCTTTTGTCTTTGGGCATATTAGCTAGCCATGCAAGATAATACTGCCACCATTTGTAGTTTGAGGTAAAACGGTTTTACTTTATCACAAAGAGAAAGAAATTGCACACTCTGCCTCCAAAGCCAATTATGTAACGTACTCATGCGAAAGCAAGAATATAACTTGGAGTACACCTTAGCAAGGATCAAATAATATTTGGCTTTTGGTGTTTTGTGTTAAACTGATGTTCTACTTGATGATGCTTGTAAAATTATTTGAAATTTTGAAATAAACTGTGGTTTAATCTTGATGTGTTCAATTAACTTCACACCAGTCCGAAGATCTGGAGCTGCTATGTTGAATTTAAGTGATCTGTACAGGATATCAACAAGGGCTGTTATTGAACTAACAGTTTTTCACCTGATTCTGTACAAGTACCCCGAAAAGTGTGGAGGTACAATCATTTTATTTTACTTCGTAACAAAGTCCAATTGAAGATGTATCATATTTATGTCATATTACAATAAATATTAATCCAAAACAAAATCATCCGTTCAAGGGTGTTCAGCAGGTAGCCATGTTTTCTCAATGCCAGCCCGAGTTGTTGCGGTGATTGACACACCCCAAATCCTGAACAATTACGGAACATGGATTCAAGGAACACAGACAAAAAGCCCCAAACACTTCTAAACATAGCCACCATTTCAAACTATGATATTTACAAGTGAAATAGACATCAATGTCACAGTAATCATTAAATTATGTGTACTTGGCAATCAATCATCTTCAAAACGATGCCCCACTACAGATTAACAGCAACTTAGCCGTCATAGATCTCGTGCTAAGAAAGTTTGGTTTCTTAAGAAAACTGCTATTCACAATATTTGAAAATGAGTTGTATGTGGTTATGTTCATGGAGTTAGATTTAAAAATCAATTGTCGATGAAAGTTCTGCTGCCGTCACTGAAGATTTATAAGATAAAATACATGCATTTCACAGTTGCATGACATTACAGTATTCTTTCTTCTGAGATCATAGAATTTTCCCTTGCAAACACTTAATGATTTCTGTAAATTGTTCAAGATTTAGATTTACTCCCATATATGATCCCGAAATATTAGGCTGTTTATTCCAGGATTAATAAAATCTTTTTCTCTTGTATATTGTGTAAGATTGGGATTAAGGTCCTAAAACACCTGGAAAAAAATCCTGATTTAACAGTAAATGTGACATACAAATATTATGTCGAGTCATAGAGGGTCACTGGTCTCAGATAGTGACTGGCTGCCATCTTGAAATTTGATCACGGTTAATATCCAGCCTTTGGACTAATTACATAATTCATAACACATCGTCATGACATCCGACAGAAAGATATGGACAAAGAACCTACTGACTATCTTACTCCAACACAGCACACGCCGTCGTCATCATGCTTACCATGGAAACCTAGACATTGTCAACACAGCTGCAAATATGTAAGACAACTGCAACTTTGTAAAGCTTCAAACTTACTAGCAGGTGCAGCTGTAACACTGATACAGCTTCAAAATTGTTTGATACAGCTGCAACAATGTTTGAAATGGTTGCACTTTTGCCTGACAGCTGTGACACGGTTTCATGCAACAATTCAGATGCTGTATAGCACAACACAGCTGGTAAAGGCTGTTTCACACAGCTGCAACACTGTCCAGCTGACACAGCTTCATACAGCTGCAACACTGTCCAGCTGACACAGCTTCATACAGCTGCAACACTGTCCAGCTTCATACAGCTGCAACTGTCCAGCTGACACAGCTGCAACACTGTCCAGATGACACAGCTTCATACAGCTGCAACTCTGTCAAGCTGACACAGCTTCATACAGCTGCAACTGTCCAGCTGACACAGCTGCAACACTGTCCAGCTGACACAGCTTCATACAGCTGCAACACTGTCCAGCTGACAGTGAAACAGCAACATCACTCATGCTTACTTTAACTGACACACAAGTTTCATTCATCTATAAGCATTTCTTCTGTAGGTTTTGTAGTTCTTCCTATAAGGTTTAGGTTGTGCTGTGTTGATGTGAGAAAACCCCTATCACTAACTAGAACAAGACTTTTTCCACAGTAACCACAGAAGACAGAACAGATATAAAATAGCACTATTGTTGCCTTTGTGAACATCATAGCTCAAACATACATAGTCTAAGTGACGAAACTGGGAAGACGATCCACGCCCAACAGTGACGTAGAAAACGATACTTTTTCTTAACATGCACACGAGACATTTTTGGGCGACATCGCCATGACTTAGTTGCCACGGCAACCTCGATACGTGGTCAGCAGTCCAGCCTGGTTGACAACCTTCCTCTGGTCCATTGCTCCGTTGTGTCGTCGAGTTGAGTGCAGCTTGCTAGTTTAATATCAACAGGAAGGGTGAGCCTAGCACAGCTAAGACCACAAGTTTTGATCAAAACATTACAATCAGGCTGTAGCACCATAAATAGACACAATTAAAATGAAAAAAAAAAGTAATAACGTGCGACCCGTAAAATAAAAACTAAATCCATAAATTTACACAAGGTTTGCCATTTTTTTAAACCTACACCATCCAGCGCAATGTCAACATCCGAGGGGCATGTTAACATGACACAAAACTCTGTATAAATACCGAACACGCCACAATGACAGATGCTACAATAGGTGGGCTATTGGCCCTAACAACTCAGCATAAATTTCAGCACATCCCATCATCCCTCTGTACCATAATGGTAGAGTCCTGGCTTGGGGCACAGTCCAAGTTGGTTCAAAGGGATGAAAGGTTCCACAATAACAATCACAGCCTTCAAATATGGACAACATTTACACCTTACAGTGCTGAATCGTCGCCGCATAAACAGTCACAAGATTCAACGTACATGGCGCACTGAATCCTGTGTTTTATGCAAGTACACAGCGTCTCCGCCCTGACCTCTCCTCTAGTCAATCAATAACGTGTTCTCGCTCCTTCTTCGGAGGGAGACATTTCGGGTGCCGGAACGGCACAAAGTCCTGTTTTGCAATCCCTTCTGGAAGTTTTTCTGGGGACACTATTCTTGGGGCTGATTTACTGGTGGTTCCGTTGCACAGCGTGTATTTCGGTTTGCTCTGGAGCAGATCGGAGACGTTTATGCCCTTTCGTTTGAGTTCTTCTCGGAAAACTGCATTCTCTCGTTCCGCATCATGGTAAGCGCTCTCAAAGTGCTTAAGACGATTAGCCAGGTCACGGTTAAGCTGAATAAATTTCTCATGAACCTGAAAATATAAATTATAAATGTTTAAACTCATGTACCTCATTAATATTGTACATATCAGCCAATATACAAACACAAATGACTTACTTTCACTTTGCTATTCAAGTCATCTTTTATCCAAACCATACCAAATAACCACAGAACAAGCTGAAGGGAACAAACATGTTAGAGGTTGTCCTACTCCAATGCAGAGTTATTTCCCTTTGACCATACCATCACATAATGTCACTGGCTTCATTCCTTTCTGCTTCAGATCACAATGCCGTATATATATTGGTTCAAATAAGAGCGAAAATACCATATACCTTAAACCGTAATGCGATATAGTTTTTACAATTTCAACACAAGGAAAGACTTTGGACTTAAAAACAAAAATCAAGTGAAAACTCAAATAATGTTTGTTCTCAAAACATCTGTGATAAGAAATGTCACCACTTTGGAATGCAGTGACATTAAACAATGGATGATATCACGTTTCCACTTCAACCAGAGGGAAGGATTTTTGTACAATGATAATCTAATTAAATAAGAGATGAATTAAACATTCATACTGGTCAAATACAAAATGTTTCAAATTCTAAGAACAAGAATAAAATAGTATTTAACCCAAAACTATTCACACATTGAAGGTTTTTTAGGTTTCAAACCTCATTTGATCACTTTTCAAACAGACAACACACACACATATTAACCTATTTTCGGAAACAAAGTAAGATTCTGGAAGAACATGTGTTCTCCGATTCAAGTATTCTGTTTCACAACCCTCCAGAACCCAGGTGAGGATGAGTTTCTGATGTGTTTCCTCCAGCATTGCTGTTCCATTTCACACAAAATCTACACATTGAACAATATATCTCAGTCCTTGCTTGTAGCTCCGGACATTAAAAACATGAAACAGAATAATCATGACGACATTATCTGGGAAGGCAAGAACAAAATATGGCATCTTTTGAACTAAATGTCACAGAGTCTCTTTGGACATAAGAAAAAGGTTATCGTTGCACCCGGCCTGATTCAAGAATTATGCTCAGGTCACAGATAAGTTCCAGTGCCAAAGTCTACATCTTCCCTCCCATGTATTACCAGTTACATTTGAAAAATGTACTACACAAATGCTAGATATATTAATAACCAAAATATTTTTAAAAAACCGTTTTCATTCAATTCATCTCCACTGAGGTCAACTGAATTGAAAGCTGTGTGAGTTATCATGCCAAAGGCCTAAGCAGGGGTCCGGAAACAGTCATATGCGCCGGACATGTCCGATTGGGAATCTCAAATGTCCGGTTTAAAATATTGCATACCGAACATTCTTAAATTTTTCTGTCCAGACATTTTAAAAGGTATTTTCCGGACATTCTTAAATGTTTCTGTCCGGACATTTTCAAAAACAAACAACGCTAACTTCGGGGTCAAAATAATTGATGAATGTTATCGTATCCCTTCAGCGAATATTCAGGTGAATAAACAGGTAAAACAAACATGGTCAATAAAAGTATGAAATTTGATATAAAACATCACTAGACATGATGATTTACCATTTAAAATGTATTTCCTGCTCTCCAAGGCATTGTTTTATATGCAGAGATTAAGATTACCGTGCGTATTTTCTCGTAACCTAAGCCGGAAATAGCAATCAGTTGTGCACACGTCGCTCCCAATCTACCGGTGATTCAGTTAAAACGTACCCAATGATACAACTAAATTTTGGGAGCCATGCTTTACCGCACGCTATAACCGAAGCGCGCAATTACGAGGGAACACGTACGTAACAATTTGTATTGTGTGTGAAAAGTACTAAAATACGCTAGTTGAAGGGGGCGTGGCCTAAATGCAAATGTCCGATTGGGATTTTAAATTTTCCGGACCCCTGGGCCTAAGCATGCAGAATTACATTTCATTCTTGCTGCATATTTAACATATTGCCACTTTTTATAAATGGAAATCCAACAGTAGCAACTTCTGCATCTGAGACAGCAGCTGTCTGCATCATTTACTAAACACCTGGTTATATCTATCAAAACAACATCAGTGCACAATAACAGTTCTTCCTTTGCAGACCTACAAATCCTATTAACACCAAAAAGTCAAATGTCTATCAACCATCCCTGCTTATAACAATCAGCACACAATATCAATTTGGCCCATGCTTCCACATTAACACATTTCCATCATACTCAGGGAAAAAAAGACCCAATTCTTACTCAAGTTTAAGAAGTTTCAGATTCAAACTTGAAAAATATCTAAAGACAAAACATAACAACACATCATGTTATCTCGAGAGCATTTTACAACGAAAACATGATAAGCAACATTCCTAAAACTGCCTCCAAGTATTTTCTGCGAGGTCCACCTGTCTGACTGCATCCTCCCTCCCATGATAAGCCACTCAACTTGGCATCCCCTCCCAGCAGGACCCGCCTAGCCACCGAGCCTCCTGTATATGCTTCTGATTTATGCTGAGCAGAAAATAGATAAACATCCCATAAACAAGACACAAAATGAGACAGAGAAGGTCTGGTTCAAGTTAGCCTCATCCTGCTTTAGCTTTAGGCTTTAATTCAATTTACCTCAAATAGACATTTCTGGTAGCTTACAAACATGGCACCGGCACCTTACCAACTTTTGTTTAATTCAATTTGATGGGCGAAAAAGTTTGAGCCTTTTACTTGGGAGGAAAACCTGAATCTTATTCGACCTTTACATGTTGCCAGTTACAGCCAATACGGCAAGTCCCCAAAGAGGACTCATCTTCCTGCATGTCTTCATCCTGCCTGTGAAGGCCATGCAGGCCTCAACAATGCTTCTGTAAGATCACAAAAAATACCCTGTTGCCATGGCAACCATCAATTAGAAATGTCGAGCTCTTAGACAGAAGTGAAGTGATAGTCGCCTCTGCTGGTCTGCTTACGAGAAATGTTATCCAATCAGTGCCGGAAAGTATGGGGAATGAAATATGAAGAAATTGGTGGGATTTGTTTTGAAATGAAGAGGGATTACTGCATAATTTCTCGGTCCTGCTGCGCACCTCTCAGTGCTAACATGCTGCAGATGTGCCCACCTTTTTTAACATATTAAAAACTAAAAGGATTCCATTTTTAACAGAGTCTTATCTTTTGGTGACATCCACATGATTTTCCCAATTATCTGTAATTACAATGAACAAAATAATGCGTATTAACATGCTCCAAAGAACACAGTTTCCTTATTTTCAGATTGAAATGCATATGATAATTCCAAACTTAAAACTAAACAGGATTCATTCCTGAAAGTGTCATACTTCCCAAAACAACAACATAATTATCTCATTAAGCAGAATATCACAATCCAAACAGCTCTCTGAAACATCCAAATTCAACCTTGAACACTTGCAAAATACAATTTTACGTACGAAGAAAACAAGCCAATTTTTCCAACCTTGACCTGAAGATCAGGTGAGCGAACAGACATAATTATACCAGTGGGCCTAACCACTGCGCCAGCCAGCCAGCCAGCCCAGAGGTCACATGATGATAGCACAGTGCCGCTTGAGTGCTTAGCTGAATTTACTGGCCGACCTGTGGCCCCTCCCTCCCATTGTACAAAGCTGTAGGCTGTGCCCCGTGATGTGATGTTGTGACCTCAATAGTGTGTTCCTTGGGTACTCGGTCATGTAGTGCCTGCATTTTTTCACTGCATCAAAACTCCCTTAAATTCAGCTTGCGTTTCCTCTGCTGGGGTTCTAAATTTGATTTAAATCCTGATTTTTTAAATGCACAGTGAAACTGTTCTTTGCTTTCAATGGTTGAAACATTTTTGCTGAAGGAGTCATGGTGAGCTGCTGCCTGAGGAACGTGGTAGTAACACAATATTCAAAGAAATCCACCAAACTTATATCCTGTATTACAGTTTATCATATTCAATAAATCAAACAAATACAAACTTTAAATAGAATTTGAAATCTGGGACAGCTTGATGTGAATTTAAAATTCAACCTGTTTAGTGTAACCTATATACCGGCTAATGAAATTTTGAAAACTTCTCTACACTTGTATCAACACATGCACATGCACATGTATGCACTGTTTGCAGTACAAATACATAATGCTAACATCGTCGTAGATGTCAAATGCAATAAAGCATAAAATTTATTTAAAACTGTAAATCTACCAATATCACATGAAAATATGAAAAATAAAAATAAAATTAAATCATATTTGAAAATCCTTTATAAATATGTTAATTTGAATCTTTCATAACTTTCATCACAAATGATTTCAAGGAAGTAATCTACAAAAACTTGGAAAAAACTTCGCTTAAATCTTATTTAATCAGCTGCATCTTGGAATATCGACCCAGACACCAAACAAAACAAAAGGGCCCTGCCTTTAAAAAATAAATAAAAATAAAGCCACAAAAACAAGCCCAGTACCAGCGAACTGGTTGTTTACTTCAAGAATTTACCAACCAAAACAAGCCATGGTCATCACATGCGAGTCAACTCCGTTGGCCCTCGTAGACACTGTGTCATGATAGGGTAGACACTGTGTCTCTCCGTGGCTCCAGACCCTCACCCCAGGTCGAGAGGGATATCAACAAAAGCCAACAACAATGAAATGTGACAAAATCGCTATCTGCAGCCATTACACAAAGTTCAGATAAATACCACCACCACAGAAGAAATATTCACGTCAGTATCGACATTGCTAAATGTATATGATGGATGATGAATGTAGATGCTGTTATTTTTTTCTGTCACAAACTCGGCTGAGATAAATTAATATGAGTCGGAGAGTACAAAGTAAGGTTTTTTTTCTAAAATCTTCTACAGAACTGACATTTTGAAAAATCAGGACATATGAAATGTCTAGTCAAAAATTGCTTAACACAACAAAAGTCATTGTGTGGGACAGCATTTCCATATTCTATGTGAGTACAGGCTGCAAAGGCTTTATGTCGCGTTTTTTTTAATTTAATGGATTGAACAGCTACACTAAACCATTGTTAAGAAAAACAAGAATT